TTTTTATTTTAATATTATGTTAAATTATAATTATGTTATAATAATATTAAATATATTATTTATTTTAAAGGCTTTTTTATAATAAATTTATATTTAATAATTTTCGGGAAGATTTAATATTTTTAATTTTAGATTTTTTTTATATATTTTTATTAAATTATATATAAAAAAAACTATTTTTTTTATAAATTTATTATAATAAATTTAATAAACCATTTTTTAATAATTTTGTTAAAAATATTTTTAATTATGTTTTTATTTGATAATATTATTGCCTATTTATATATTAATTATTTATATATAATTAAATATATAAAATAAATATTAATTTTATTAATGTTTATATTTTTTTCTTTTATATTAATTATTTTTATATATATTTTTTAAAGAAAATTTAATTTTTTTTTATTATAATATAATTTTAAATAATTATTTTGCGTTTATGTTTTTTTTAAAAGTTATTTATATTTATATATATTTTATTTTAAATATTTATATAATTGTTTGTAAAATGTTTAAGTTAAAACTATTGCTGGTAATTTTAATAAAATAGATATTATTTTTGGCAAATTTAATTTTAGTAATTTCTTTAGCTATAATTGCGTTTTTATTTTGGTTGGTTATTATATTTTTAAAATTACTATAATTGTTTTTTATAATTATTTTAGTTAAAATTATTTTAATTAAAACCTTATTTTTATTTAGGTTAAATATTATATTTAGAAAAATAGTTTAAATAATATAATTATTAATTTTAATTTATATTTTTTTTAATTAATATAAGTAATATTGGTTAATATTTAAAAAGTTTTAATAAAAAAAGTTATTAGCAAAATTAATGTTATAGGGATAAAAGGTAAAATTGAAATATTAAATATAATAAATTTAATATAAAAACTTTTTAAAATAATATAATTATAATATATTTTTTATTTTTTTTAAATATTAAAAATAATTATTTAACATTATATTTATTATAAGTTTTTATAATAACGATTTTAATTTTGGATAAATAAAATTATATAGTTAAAATATTTATTATAAATAATGTAAATCATTAATTAACAGCCCATATAAGTCAATAATTTAAAAATTTATACTTTTTAATTAAATTATTTATTATATAATAATAACATTTAAAATTAATTAAAAATTAATTTAATTCTTATTATTAAAGGTTTTTAAATTAGTTTAATAAATTTATGCGTTATAATTTATATTATTATAAATATTATAATATTTTTAACTTTATTATTATTTTATTATAAGATTATTTTTAATAATTATAATATTATTTTTAACGTTAATACTTTTTTTTAAATCTATAATATATTTTTTTCTTTTTATATTAAAGGTTTTTTTTTATAATTATTTATTTTTTATTTAATAACGTTTAAAAAATACGTAATTTATTTTTTAAAAATTTAAAACTTTTTTTTTAATAAAACTATTTTATATAATAATTTTTAAAATTTTGATTAATAAGTTAAATTAATAAATAAAATTTTTATTACATATAAAAATAAATTATAATATAGTTTTATTAATATTTTTTAATATTTTAAATATTTAAAATAAATTAAATAATTTAGGATTTAAAGTAAAAAAATATACAATTTTAATAATATTAAATTATAAAATAATTTAATTAAAATTTTAAAAAATTAATTTAATAACTAAAAAATTAACTTATATATTTTTTTAATAAAAACAATATTATAAATTTATTAAAAAGTTAAGAAAAAATTTTCTTTTTTAATATAAGTTAAACTTTATTACATTAAGTTTTTAATAGCCTATTTATATACGCATTTTAAAATTAAAAAAACGTTTATATTTAACGGTTAAAATTTATAAAATAAACAAATATATATATAAAAATTTACAATATTATTATTACAGTAATATTTATAAAATTTTATTAATATATAATTTTTATAATTATTTAATATTAAAAAATATTTAATATTTTTATACAATTTTTTATATATTTATTAAAATATATTAATTATTTTATATTAATTTTATTTATAATTTAACTATTTTTAAATAATTTAGTAACTTAATCAAATAAAAATTTACTATTATAATATTATAAAATAAAATATATTTTATTTATTATAATAATAAAAAACGATATAATTTAATTTTAAAAATTAATAAATTAAATAATTATAAATTATTCTTTATTTTTAAATATAATTTAATAAAATTTTTAATATTAATTAAAATTTATAATAATTATTTTTATAATAATTATACCCATTATAAATTTAATTTTATTAAAATTATATATATTTTTAAATAAAATACTTTCTTTTTTTATTATATTTATAATTAATTTATATTATATATAATAAACATTAAAATATTTGCAAATAACTTTTTAATAATTAATTTAACAATTTAAATATATTTTAAATTTAAATTGCTAACATATAAAGTTTATAATTTAATTTTTTTCAATAAATTTTTTATTATATTTTTACAATAATATATTAATTATTTTTTAACATAAAAAAATCTAAAAAAAAACGTTTAAATATTTAATTAAAAAATATATTAAATAATAATATTTTCTTTATATTAAATTAATTTTTATCAAAATTTTATAATATTTTTACATTATTAATAATTATATATTTTATTACGTAATATTTTATAAAAGATATTATAAACGCATATAATACATTTTATATTAAATTTTTTATTACGTTTTATAACGTTAAATGCCAAATTTATCCTAATTTTTTTAAATAATTAAAACATTATAAATTAATTAAATTATTAATTACTAAAATTAAAAGGTAATAGTTTAAATATTTTTGGATTGTTAATTTATGTGGGCTATTAATTAGTGATTTATATTAAGTAATAAATTTGTAAATTTTTATATATTAAAATAACTTTATTATTTAAATTATTATAAAAGTAGTTTTAATTATATACGTTTTATTATATATTATAATTTATATAATAGTTTATATATTAATTAAATTAATTTTAAACTTTTTTATAATAAAATTAAAAATATAATTTAAATTTATTTTTATTAAGGTTTTTATTTTATTTATTAAATATATAATTTATTATAATTATGTATTTTTTTTATAAAAATTACAAGAAATTGTTTTATAATATAGCTTTTTTTATTAGGTTTTAAATAACTATTTTTATAAAATCTATAAATAGGTAAATATTATATTAATAAATATTGTTTATAATAATAATATAGTTTTTTTTGCTATATAATTTGGTAATATTAAAGTAAAAATAATTAATATAATAAAATTTTTATTTATTTAATTTAATATAAATATAAAATAATTAATTAATAATAATTTTAATAACGTTATTAATATTACGAAATAATTTTCGAATAAATTTTTTTTTAAAATAATTTATATTACCGTAATAATAGTTTTTATTTACTATTAAATATCGTTATTTATTATATTAATTAAATTTATGTAATTATTTAGTAAATTTATATAATATAAATTTATAAAATTATATAATAATAAAAAAGTTTTAATAAATTAAATTAATTAATTTAATATAAAATTAATAAAAAATAAATGTTTAAAATTTAAAAAAGATTTTTATAATAAAAGTATTAATTCTTTTTATTTTTATTTACTTTTAAAAAATTTCAATAATTTATTTTTATTAAAATTAAAAGATAATTTTAATATTATTTTTAATCGATTTTTAAGTAAATAAAAATAGTTAATTTATTAAAATAATTAAATGTTTTATTTAATTAATATAAGTTTTATATAATAATAAATTATTTGTTTTAATTTTAAAGTTTATGGTTTTAAAATAATTATATATTATTTTATTAATATTTTAAACGTTTATTAATTTAAAATAATTAACTTTTTTTTAAAAATAATTAGTTTTTTTTATCGTTTTATTTATTTTTTTTATTTAATAAAAATATGATTATTTATTTAAATTATATGTATTTTTATTTTAAAAATATTTATAATTTATTTATTTAAATAAGGTTTAAAATTTTAATTTTAAACTTTTTATATTAATTTAAAAAATAGTAAAAAAATTTAATATTTATTTTTAAAAATAATAAAATTATAAATATTATAATTTATATTTTTTTAAAAATTATTTTATATATTTAAAAGAAATTATTATTTTTATAGAAAAATATAATTATTTAATAATAATTTATTATTTTATTTTTTAATATTTATTTTAAATTTAATTAAAAAAAAAGTAAATTTAGTTTAAAAATGAAATTTAAAGATAAAAAAAGCGTTATGGTATTTATAATATATTTTTTTGCCGAAATAAGTTGAATAAATATATATAATTTAGGAAAAAAAAATGGTTAAAAAAAAAAAAATGAAACTATTAAAATAATAAATTATTTTTTAATAAAATTATAATAAATTAAATTTTTTAAAATAAATATATTAATAAACTTTTAATTTGTTAATAATTTATAATTAGGTTTAAAGTTAATTATATAAGTTAATAATTAATTATGGTAAGTTACGTTTGTTAATATAATTAAAATATTAAATAATAATTAAAATTAAAATTTAAAAAATATTTTTTTTTATAATTTATAAATATAAATATATAAATTAAAAATTTTATAACGTTTATAATAAAAAATAGAAATAAATAAAACTTGTTATTTTTAAAATTTTTAATTTTAACGTATTAAAATAATAAATAATGGATTTTACTTTAAATAAAAAATTAAAAAAAAATATTTAATAATATTTATAATTATAATTTTAAAATTAACAAATTATTTTAATCAATTAAAATAACACGATAATATCAATTTTTTTTAAATTAATTATAATAATTTTTATTATATTTCGTAAATAATCGAAATTATATTACACAATTAACGTTGTTTTTAATTTAATATATATTACCCATTTAATATTACTTTTACCTTACACACTTTATATTTTTTTAATCTTTTTTTACACATTTTAATATATATCTCCATTATCGTATCACTCTCCAATCTCGGGCTTCCGGCCGTATACAATGGTCCTATAATTAATCTTGTCAGCGTGGAAATCTCAAACATGCGCAAGAGACATTGAACTCAGTTCCCCAATCTCACAGCTGATATGGTTTTTACTCACACTTGAAGCCAACCACAGAGGCTCTTCTTCTTCAACTCCGCTCGATACTTGGCTACGAATAAGAGGATCTCCTCAGCTGTCCACCCCAGGGCTTTACTAAACAAATAGAGACAGAATCCCTCAAGACTCTGATCCAACATCGCGAACATGAGCAGACCGGCCTGTTGTAGTTTGGGATCTCGTGGCCAGCCATGACAGGGCATCTTGACCTTGACGTCGTGGACGTCGACAAAGCCGGCTTCGGTCATTGCATCTTTTAAAGTGTTGTCGTACCCAATACGAAATGACCGACCCAATTTATCCCCGGCTTCGTAGAATGCATCAGCCCAAGTATTGAACATGTGATCTTCGGGAATAGCCGCATGGTCCGATTGTATACGCACATCGAACTCTACATCTTCGAACCACTTGCCGGGCTTGAGGTGCTTGAAGGCCTTCTTATATAGGTCGGTCCAGTCAGGTATGCTCCCTGTTTGACAAGAGTTGTTAGAATGCATATGCATAATGTAGCGGGCCAGCCAGTTTCGATTGGAGAGTTACCATAAAGCATCCTCATGTGGATATAATCGAAATGGCTCTCTGGCCACGTCCAGTCGAGAAGACAATCATCAATCTCAAATTTAACATTCGGCGGCATCCACGCAGGTTGTATCGGGCTAAGATCGGTCCCTATCACCTCTGTTGCTGGGTAAACGTCTGCAAAATCGCTATAGTTACTCTAGTTTAGCGACCAGAGCTCGATATTATAGTTTTATGTTCCTTGCGGGATACTTACATCGCCCATATCCCAGTTCCAGTTCCTACGTCGAGCACCTTCTGTGGATTTTCGCCGACAGGTGCAAGAAACAGCTCATCGCCTAAAACCATCAAAGCGGCATTGTGGAGCAAATCGAGACCCTCATTCTGTTGCTCGTCATTCGGGGCCCAATACTCAGACGTCTTAGGCGCATTGAACGTCCTGCCGTGTAGTACGCGATAGGCGTAGATACTTTCAGTCAATGAGCCGGTGGAAGATTGTCTTATAAGGGTCACTGTTAGCTTCGAAATTGAGCTTAGGTCACGGAGAGATGAGTATTATTATACATTGAGCTACCAACAGCCGAATTGGCGTCGTCATTATCATCCGGCTCATCTATGTCATCGGCCTGCATGCAATGTCAATATTACGATCGAAGGAACTAAGGCGCAAACAAAATGACAACCTACCACTTCGATATGTTGTTCGGTACCAAATGCTTCTCCTTCGGGCGTTGGACTTTTCGCGGGACTCTTGGGAGATGTTGGGCCTTTAGGTGATGTTGGACCTTTAGGTGATGCTGGAGACGCAGCAGACGCAGCAGATGTAGTAGCTGTTGTCGCCGCCGCGGCTCGCGGAGATGGTGTCTTTGCAGTGGTATCCGCCATTGCTATCCTATGATATTTTTCGGTTAACTACCAGTCCTATGGAAGAAGCCCGTAGTGAGTGCCCTGGGTGTGTGAGAAGAAAAGAAGTTGACAGCAGTTAGACGTAAGGTGCTAAGAGAGACGGGCACTAATCAACATAGCAAAAATGTGGGTGCGGATATGAAGAACGGCTGGTCCCGCGCCACGCGGGCAGTGGAGAAAAATGAGTTGGCCGCATCTCGAAGCGGGCTCTCTGACCAAAAGGGAATATTGGTGCCAGCGGCGTTGGTTCTGACTTACAAGGACCCCCAGATCCTAAAGCCAGCATTCTGGGTTCCATTAACAACTTCAACCAATCAAATAAAATAATCTCCAATACCTGCGGGGTACCGTTACTATCTTTGACCCGTGAAAAGACAGTCTGCCCTGGCCCAGGGAAAAGAAGTGGATTGTCTAAGGTGTAAGATTTTCATAAAAAAATGACATGTATCTCCTGTCTCGAATTCCAAACTCTGGCGGTGAGGAAGAGTCCCTGGGGTACATGGATGTTTAATATCGGCAAACCCGGACACAGGATATATGCACCTCTCTCTCTCTCTCTCCCATATGCTTGGGACGATATTAGAACTTCTAGAAAAAGTAGTCCACTCGCAGATGATGGGGAGATTGAATGATGACTATTGGTTTTTGTCATGAGTTTTGAAAAGCGGGGGTAACTCGCATTTCATCCTTACTCTTCTTCTTCTTCTTCTTCTTCTTCTTCTTCTTCTTCTTCTTCTTCTTCTTCTTTAAGGGCATTTTCTTTTAACATCCAGCTTCGGCTCATCCAACCTGATCGGGTAGTTATCGGGTAGATAGATACCTTACTTGGTTAAAAAGCTGCTTACTGCTTTGCTGCTTGCTCCGTGCTCACTTATCTCTGCCGTAGCATATTCCCGAACTTCAAACTTGTTCCCGGCTGCGTTTGCGCCGATCACCAATGATAATAATGTCAATGCTTAATTTAATTTCCACTTCTGGACCTCCCGCTTGATGAGCTCATCCCACTTTAACATAACCGGATGTTCCTTTACCACGTCCTCGATCGATATTTTACCATCACCTCCAGATCCTCTCACGGAATATTTCCAACTACCATCTGAGGTCCAATATTCCTCTGCGAATATCACCTCGGTGCGCAGCTCCTTTGATGCATCTAACAAAAGGTTGTCCATATGCGCTGAGCTATTGAGGCTGTTTTCTCTCAAAGCTGCAGCCATACCTTCAAGAAGTCCTAGTAATCGACCAGCCTTTAATCCGAGTTCGGCGCCCAGGTCAAACCCTTCATCGAACCCAGCCTGCATGCTTTCGGCTTTGCCAGCGGTAATACCATCACGATAACCTTCAGTGGTATGTTGAGTTTGAAGTCTTCTCGTATCTGGTGAGAATATCTGACTGCTCTCCGACTGGTCGTGAGATGCCGCCAATTCGGTAAACTGCTGAAGATCCGGGCCGACCATGTCATCAAAAGGTTCGAAATAAGCCGGTGCATGGACAGGATCCATATATGTATATAACTCGCTGTCCCGAGGTTCAGGCGGTGGTAAATGCATTGCAGAGGTATATTTATTCGTTATTCGTAACTATGCAGCTATGATGAGGGGAAATGGGAGAATGAAATGGAAGAATGGTACTAGTTTAAGTCTGATTGGACCTAGAAAATTTTTATTTTGTTAAGTAATTCGTAACTTGTAATTCGTACCAAATGGTTCACATTCTCCTATGCTACGGTATTTACCTACATAACGAGACGAACCCTTCCCGTGATCTTATTCAAGTAAACGATTGATATTGCATTTAATTGTGAATAAAGGAATTGACAACTCGATGTTTGCTTACCTCGTATAATTTGCAATGCTATGGCAATTGAATATCTAAAAATATAAAATCATCCACATATACCCATACACACGTATAAGATACATAGAAAGATATCCTATTTTTAGAGGTGTTAACATCACTTATAAAGGGTAATATTTGACATTTACATAGTGACCTGGTCTCGAGGTCCGCACGCTTGTGATGCACCAGTCAAGACTCAAAATTATCATAGGATTCTCTACCGTATCCCTTCTTATTCCCGATTAACGACTACTTTAACTAATTATTCTGGTGGTAGTCCCTTTTTCCTACGGCCAATAATTAATAATTATCTAAAAGCATCCCTTGCACTAGGTATCTTATCTAGAACCTTAAGACCAAATATTTAAAATTCCTTGCGGAAGAACAAAGTTATTTATATACTTCTTAGTCTACCTCGTGATATTAACAGGCAGTAAGAAAACGACGGCGTGGTCAGGCAAGTGACATGGCGTAGCGGGTATTAAAATCACCTACACCATAACTAGGGATATATATTCATATATAGTAGGACGTTGGACCCAGCGTATATCATGAGCTTCGTTAACTAGTCTAGGCACAGGCTATTTATTCGTTACAAAATATAGTTAGAAAGAGAGACGTGGTAGTTGAAGAGGTACCCAGTAATGTAATACGGGGATAGATGTATTGATAGTTCCTTAGGCGACTGATACATCTAGGGCAAAGAGCTCTTCGCTTTGTTAGCGATCTAATCTTAGTTGGTCGGTTAGATCCATAGTTCCTTGTAGCTCAACAGATTTGTGCCCTCGCCCTTTATTCACATACTTCAAAGGGATAGGTCAGAATGGCTTCTGCTCTTGAGAAACCTGGGAACATAGAAGCCCACACTTCAGGAACACCGGGAATAGCTTAAATTGGGTACGTATTTAGTACTTGATTGTCTTCCACTTACCAGCCTACCATTTGGTAGCCAGCCCAACTCGCTGTAGGAACTCGGTATGCACTAACTTGTAATCCCGTATTTACTATATACCAATAGTAGATATGATAGCCTATTATTTATTCTACTGCCTTATTCAAGGTCACCGAAGTGATCTTCTCAAGTGGCTACGTGATAGAATTGACCTGTTAAATATATTAGTAAACACGACCTTACCGCCCCAGGCATCTTATCAAAAAAGGGACACAGTTAACCAGGGAAATTTCAAAAAAATTTCCCGACTTGATATACCGCTACATATAAATATAGTCTGTGAAGAGTCAATTAGAAGACACAAGTAACAGATAGATATACCCAGTCAAAGGTCTTTCATCCCTCCGGGATAGAAGACCTAACTGGTATACTTAAAGATAAACAGAGAACATATAATAGAGTAATCAATCAAGGAATATCGCTCTCATGGTCATTATTTGTAGTCATTTATAAGTCCTAGAATAAGTCTGAGAATTGTTACTCTGGTATATATGGTACTGGAGGTATGCCGGACTTGGAAGGATTGTTCATAAACATACCGTTGATGTTTAATCAGTGCGGCAAATGTGTTCTTATATAATACTATTATCATCACCGTACTATTGGCTTAGCATCACAGCAAGACTGGTCTTATAGATGGAACGGGTGTAACACCTCAAGTAGATTGAGACTTGAACAGGCAGTAAGCCAACAACTAAGACCGACAGAAATGGAGACGGGCCATTTTCTAAGTATCATGAAAGCTAACAAAACTGATTTGAAGATGGGTTTATATAGTATAGTTTTCAAACATGTGCGAAATTATTGTCTTCGAGGTATTGCTTGGCACCGAGTTGACCGTCATTCTTAAATATTTATGGCTCTAACGACAGCGATGGGAGACTATTACGACTTACATTAGTATTATATTACGTGTGGTTGATACTCAGCTCATAGCTCATACGATTCATATCAAGTTGAAATGTGTAGCTAGTTTCGTCAGTTCTAACTCAAGCTGTTATATAATTAATTATCTTAAATAGGTATATTAACATATAAATATCATAAAGTATTCGTCAACAATGGTCCGAAACTAATCTCACTAAAACACAGCCCTCGGATCTTAGATTTAGAATCAGTCCTAATTCGTCCTAATCTCTTGGGTCGGATTGGTTGGAGATATAGCCTTGGCTTACGAAATGCCACACCGAGACATTCCTACCCACATCGCCACATTGCCACCTTGCATCGATCATGCTAACCCATGTCCTGCATGGCTCATTATCTAAAGTGAATCTCAATCCTTATCTTTTGACTCGCTGGACTAACAAATTTGCACCTTGAAAATTTCCAAGGACAAGCCCTCTTAGCCCATTAGCAGCACATTGTGGCCGGCTTTGTGTCGAATAACAAGACAAGCGATAGGAAAATAGTAAATCTACTAGGTAATCTACATACATAGTAAAGCTCCCCCCCCATGTTCGAAGCTAAAATAGAAGTGATAAGATCTATAAAGGTATTATCTCATTTAATTAACACTAGATCGTCACTAGCCAATACCACCATGATTAGACATCTTCATGCTTCCCCAACCTGCCGGAATCGTATTTTTCTTCTCTTTCCATCTAGGTGCTCGCGTGCCATGTTGGCTTTTGGCCTTTCGCCTTGCGGATACTTCTTATGTGCTGACATCAATATTTCATCATTCCTATCTTCCCTTCTCTTTCATACGACAATCCTAATTCCTACCCGTCCTATTTGCGACTTACCTCAGTTTACCGTTGCAGCGTTATCCAGTCGTCTATAAGTCGGAGCAGTTACTCTGTGTGACCTACCAAACTCGTCGCAAAGGACCAACCTTGCTGGCCTAGAGGTCACTCATCAACATGGCGTGGGTTCACGATTTCAACGTTAGGGTTGCGAAGAGTCCTATCGGGCGGTGGTTCCAGCTCGAAGGATCAGGTCATGTAAGCTATCCTATGAAACCCGAGTGGCTGAGGTCCATGACGGAGACTTGATCATTGACGAGGTTATTGTACTGTAATATAGCCTAAGGAACGAAAGGGTTCCTATTTTTTCACCGAGATACGCGCTGGAGTTGCTGCCTTTTTTGCTATGGCTTATATCATCGCGGTTAACTCCAGCATCGTATCCGATACGGGCGGTATGTCTCTAATCGCTCTCGCCATTCCACTAGAGTTTAGGGGGCTAACAACTACTTGAAGGTACCTGTGTGTGCAACGGCGGACTGGCTGACCCGTTATGTAAGGTGAATGAGGAGTATTTGTTATGTGCTGCTGAAATCAAGCGCGACCTCGTCACGGCGACGGCCGCAATCTCTGCGCTGTCATCATTTTGTATGGGCTTGTTTGCAAACCTGTATGTGCCACCCTACCGCACCTACTGTGGCTCTAGGATCTAGCTAATGGGCCCTTCTAACCACAGCCCGGTCTCTTTGGCCCCTGGTATGGGGTTGAATGCCTACTTTGCTTATACCGTAGTCGGATATCACGGTGATGGGCTTGTGCCTTACTCTGTAGCCCTAACGGCCATCTTCGTCGAAGGCTGGGTTTTCTTCGCTCTTGCTCTATTTGGCCTCCGTCAATGGCTCGCTAGAGCTATCCCGCGATCGATCAAGCTTGCTACGAGCGTGGGTATTGGCCTCTTTCTAACCTTAATCGGGTTAACGTTTAGCGAGGGCATCGGTCTCGTGACGGGTGCGCAGGATACGCCGATGGAGTTAGCTGGTTGCTCAGCTGTAGACGCAGGGACTGGGCGTTGTCCCGATGGAGAAAAGATGCGTAATCCGAAGATGTGGATTGGTATATTCTGTGGTGGTGTTCTGACCGTGCTCCTGATGATGTATCGTGTGAAGGGGGCCATCATTGCTGGAATTCTCCTTGTCAGTATCATTTCATGGCCACGAGGAACATCTGTCACCTATTTCCCAGACACCACTGTGGGCGATGACGCTTTCAATTTTTTCAAGAAGGTTGTCGACTTCCATCAGATCGGCAAGACCCTCACCGTCCAACGTTGGGACATTGCGGAATATGGGGGCCAGTTTGGCTTGGCGTTTATTACTTTTCTCTACGTCGACATCCTTGACTGCACGGGAACCTTGGTGAGTATATTATGGAGTTTTTCTTTTTCTTTTCTGTATTTTGCATCTACCTTTATATATATGCCCCTGTAAATGGTACCACGCTAACACTGGGCGTGCTAGTATTCGATGGCACGATTTGCCAACGTTATCGATCCCGTGACCGAGGATTTCGAGGGCTCAACCATAGCATACATGGTTGATGCGATTAGCATATCTATCGGATCTCTCCTGGGATGCCCACCTGTAACTGCTTTCGTCGAAAGTGGAGCTGGTATCGCTGATGGTGGACGGACCGGCCTTACCTCGATGACTACGGGCCTGTGTTTCTTCATCTCCATTTTCTTCGCACCCATCTTCGCGTCAATCCCTCCATGGGCTACAGGTTGCGTATTGGTTTTGGTCGGATCAATGATGATGCGGGCAGTGACTGAGATTAATTGGAATTATATTGGTGATGCCATACCAGCTGTTAGTAGCACTCGAAACTCTCTGTTCCTATGTTTTTATGTTTCTATTCATCCACGTCGTGGTGGCCACTAGCTGACTTCACATGATCTAGTTTGTTACTATATTTGCAATGCCCTTTACGTATAGCATTGCCGATGGTCTCATTGGCGGCATTTGTTTATATATCTTACTCAACACTCTGGTGTGGCTGATCGAGAAGCTATCCGGAGGACGTATTGTCCCGCCTAACAAGGCTGAAAAAGACCCCTGGAATTGGAAACTCCGTGGTGGTATATTACCACCTTGGGTAATGCGCCTCTATACTGGTAAGAGTGATTTAATTCAGGATACTCCTGCGACAGAATCGAGTGTTGATGTACCTGGAGGAGACCACATGGCGAAGACGAAATCGAAAGAACATGTAAGGGGTTACACCCAAGAGTCTACACTCCAGGTACAGGAGAAGTCTACTTAAATATCATCTACAAATGATATAACGTGTATATATTGTCAACTCTACGCATATATGGCACACATGGCATATGAGGCTACCCAGTTGAATATATCCAAGATAGTGCATAACATTACACTTCAACAATATTGGGACGGAAGCATGATTTGGTTTGACTTCGTACCTATGTGCCACTTTAGAAATAATTTTGGATCATAAATGGAGTCATACGGGTAAATAGGAAATACTTTATAGAGTTTTTTTCTTTTTCTTTTAAATACTGATGCTGGATTACCCTTGACGGGATTTGCATACTAGCTAGCTACTAGTATCAACTGAAGTAATAAAACACAAACCGACCCAGTGATCTCTCTACCTGTTCCAATCCACATCCAAATCCCAAACGCCGCCTCGAATGTGCTAGAATTAATAAAACAGTCCACTCCGTATAATGCTGCAATGGATGGGCTCGTTACACGCCCATAGTGAAATCATGCTCGATGCCAGGGGTAACGCTGGCCATGAACTGGACTTTAGTTAGCGCTATTCGACCTTTTACATACCTAGGCTTGATTTGATATTCAAAAATCCGTTTACATACCTTAAGAAATACAACAAGGTATTGGTCAACTCGGATGGCTACCTCTTGGTCTTCTACTTCCACTTCTTCCCAATCGTCATTACTTGATTCGGCAGCGGCTTCAGCACTCTTGACATCGAGCTTATTGATCTCGTCCACTAGACCTTCCATGCCGGCATCGATGCCAACTGCCTTTCCGGACTTCATTTTGTCACGTCTTATTTTTAAGGCGGCATCCGCGCGATCCAGGAGAGTCTTCATAACGGAAGCATGTTTACACGGATGCACGCTGGCCATCTTGACGTTGTTAGCAAAGAAAGGGAAGTCTTCCAATGTCACCGTCTTGTCCTTGTAGTCGCCGACGATATCCTCCATCATCAGATGAGGAGCGAGGGGTTGTCCTTCGGTGTAGCCTGATAGATATAGGCGGGGTGTACGGTAGTAAGGGGAATACATGATGTAAAGGGTGTACGTGCGACGGGCGCTATAAGGTACGAAGTTAGCTTTTGGATATCCCAGGCACCTGTCTATGTCAACGGGAGATAGAAGCAGAGAGGTACATACGCCGTCCTCCTGTGCGGATCGGTATCGCGAATGATGGCTTCGTCATCGTCATCATCATCTTCCATGTCCGGGATTTCATCATCATCATCATCTAGGCCCTCTCCGACATTGCCCGCATCATCAACGGTTCGTACGTCCTTAGCTTTGAGTGGCTGCGAGCTGCTTAGACCACCCGTGCGTAGCCATCCATCATCGTCACCGCGGCCTTTGGAATTGAAATCGTCACCATCGCCAACCACTGCTTCTTCGTGACCCGCATCTCCAGCAAAGTCTTCATCGAGGCGGCGGTTGCAAGGAACATTTCGTGTGACTAAGAACTGCTTTCCGGGTGGTAAGTAGGACACGCGCTTGGACTCGGAATCGGCATCTACCCAGGACCAAGTTGGGAATTTGAAGACGAGATAGTCGCCGGCCGCTATAAACTCCTCGGGGGTGATCTGGCCCGTCTTTCGAAATGTTGATGTGTGGCTCACGGGAGTGTATTTGTCCCGGATCGTGTTAACCGTTGAGTAGATGAGATTCATCTTGGATAGATATCTCTTGATTATGAATCACGCTTCGGTGTTGGCGCTCTTTTTCTCGACTGCAGGATGGTCGGGCGGAATGATAGGAACGAATATATGACTGTTTCCGGGTTTAAATAAATCAAGATGGGGATGGAAAAAACAAAGACTACGAATGATGATGGTGGGGGGGATAGAATAGTGACCTGCACTTGAATGTAGAAATTAGGCTGCTTTTATATGAGCCCTTTTATATAAGCAAGTTGTCTTCATTCGTGTACCTACTTTTAAAGTTGCTTGATATGTAACGATCGGAGGACTGGCCTTGTCACATGGGGCGCAAGCAGGTAAGGCACAGGGACAAGCTCTAGCAGTCTGGCAGTCTTAGGTATGGCAGCTGAGAGAGAGAGTAAAGGAGGGGCACATATCTCTCCTTATCTTATCATAAGTGTACCTCTAGGTGGATACGGTACGTTATTTTAAGTACCTAGTTATCCTCGTATATATGCATTAAGTTCAAGCGCACTGACCATATTTAATAAACGAAGCGATTTGGTAGATTTAGGGCTGTTGCTTCGGGTGCTTCTCGGATAATTTGTTCCTGACTCCCCACGAAAATCGCAATCCAAAAATTTCGTTCGAGACGCAAGCAACACCATCACTTTACTAGTCCAGACGTACAACACCCCTACGAACGAAACTTTCCCTCTCCAAGATCACATTGAAGGTAAGCAAATATAGTCAGAAATTTCCCCCCCCAAAACATTCAAATCTCAATTGCGTTCCTTACGTAGTCTGCCATACTAATAAATATTTATTACACAGTTTCGCCGTCAAGATGAGTGCGTACCCCTTCGAAACGATATTTCTGCTGCCAACACCTGACTGACTTCGAATATAGCCAAGGGAACTTCCAGCTTCGGAAAGCGTCACAACAAGACGCACACTCTGTGCCGACGATGTGGTTAGTAAAATCAATCTCTGGGGATGATGCGATTTTGTGTTATGCGATAGATGCGGATCGTATTCTAAGGCCATGACGGAACTTAATTGACGAATGTATCTATAGGACGTCGTTCTCTTCACATCCAGAAGCACACCTGCTCCTCCTGCGGATATCCCGCCGCCAAGACCCGAAAGTGTACGTGAAAATCTCGCTATTGGAGGGGAACCAATTACCATACCGAAGAGTGGAAAAGGATTGTCTCAATATGGTGGTGCAAAGCTGATCTTGATAATTATAGATAACTGGAGCGAGAAGGCCAAGCGCAGAAAGACTGTCGGTACTGGCCGCATGCGCTACCTCAAGGATGTCTCCCGCAGATTCAAGAACGGATTCCGAACCGGCGTACCCAAGGACGCGCGAGGTCCAGTTGCGAAATAAGGTGCTCATCGGGAGAAGTGGTAGATGAGGGCACTGGCATGGCAAGGGAACGGTGTTTCTGACATTTGGGCTGGCTCATGGCGAACTCGTACATATTTTGAGTTCGACGGAAATGTAATGCTAGCATTTCCGAACAAAATGGCATCATGATCTCACATGTTTGACGAGGCTCTCTAATTGTTACATCTCGAGTAACTACTCGACGTCCGTGGGCCTTTAGGATGCCTATCGGTTTAGAGAAGATGGGTTTGATGGTAGGATCTAGTTTGAGCTTAGGAGAAGGCTCCTAGACCTAATCACATGAAGCTATCTTGACTGATTAAACCTATGTTTGGGCTGACTTTTCGTTTTCCTGGGAATGAATCATTCGCAAGATGACTATTGACCCCGTTCGAATACTTTGACTCCACCATCGCCTGTAACGAGGTATAACAATTCCCGCTCCTCTATCGTCCCGTCCGTCCCATTGTATCCGCCGCTTGGGGTGACTCTTATGACACCACTTACGTCTCTAGCGGTTCCTGTATCCAGCATCCGTAGACTGATCACAAGGTTGGCGTCATGGGCTAAAGTTATAGCAAATGCAGCGTGCTCCTTTTCTAATGACGTCGTTTGTAATGACATTAATGGTTCATCTGCAGATACGGTGACGATGGATGAATATACTTTCTATTGCAAACCTATTATTAATCGACGATACATGGGAAGCAATGATGTGTAGGACGTGCTCGTTTTTTCGGCAACTTACCTCGCGAATGTTAAGCAGCGTATCTCGTAGTGCTTGGCTCGAAATATCGCTCCCAGAGGCAGCCAACAGCAGGTCCAAGTGGTCAGCAATCAAGACAGTTTTTTGCTTAGAAGCAGGGCGCTGAACCTGTGCTATGGCATCTTCGAGTTCTTTGCGTAAATGCTGTAGCGAGGCAACAGACAAGACCTTTCTCCCAGAGACATTATCTTGCGGATACCCTTGGGGGCGAGTAGGTGATGCACAGTACAAGCTAGAGAGACCGTCGACGAAGATGAATTTGCCCTTTCTGGTTAATGCATCAAGATCAAGACCAAGTTTTCCGGCACCCTCTTTCCAGAAAGTATAGTCGCGTAGAAAGCTGATGAAAACTATACTAGTATCCTCTATGCTAGACGAATCGGTATCCTCTTCTCTTGCTGTCGGTGTTGGTGTTGGTGTTGGTGTCGGGGTCGGGGTCGAAAGTAGAGAGTAAAGATAACGGAGAACCAGCCAGTTCGTACTTGACCCCAAGACCCCACTAAGAAGGACGAGGGATGTCTCAGGTGGTAGGTGGAGATAGGCGTCTAGGAGGGGTGGAATTCGAGATGCCATGAGGTGAGATGTCGGGGCTGCACAATATTAGGCGACTGGCCGAGATAAAATCTATGCAGATAGCATATTATCAGCAGGGACTTCTACCACGACCAACCACCGAAGATTGTGGACTAAGATCGGTATCAGATTGTGATTGTGGGGTATGCAAATAGTAAATGGCACGATATTAGGTTATGGTGTTGGCGGTTGGCGGTTGGAGATTGGAGATTGGATCTACAATATGTATTGCGTATACATACGACAGCAAGCTGAGGAGCCGTATTGAGATAGACGAGATAGGCGCTGGTATAAACATTTCGGCTTGGTGTGATAACGCGAGTCTCAAGGACCGGAATTATGTTGAGCAAGGATTAATACGTACAAAAAAATATTACGGCCTAGTTAGCCTGCCCGGTAAGAGTTTTTGATTTTTGAATGATAATAGCAAAACTGATTATGAATAAATCAAGAGTAATTTCTAGACGTTTCACAACTGCTGATATTACGATGAAATCTTGAAATGTGCGAAGTTCCTAGTTACTTTATCTTGAGTTTTTGATATGCGCCTGAAGAATTACGATGTATGGATTACTTCGTACATAAAGCCACATAAAATCCACATACCCACTTTATGTATGTAGTGTATGTTTAGGTATGTTACCAACATGTAAATTTCCTTCGTTACCCAGATGTACCTTGGACTGCTTGGCAGCGGATCTCACTTCGACTAGGAGGGGGTAAATCACATGCATCGTAGTGTACCCTTATGTAAGGTGCCGTCATAGTGCATGTTTACCTATGTATGTACATATGCATGTTAGCAGGCCCTAGCGGTACTATATATTTGTATATTTGTAGTAGCAGAGGTACTTCATACCTAACATACCAGTCATAGCGTTTTTATCCCCCCGCGGTCCCAACCTTGGAACCCTGAATAACCTCTCTGGTCAAGGGTCTATGGGGATGGATGTGGATGGATGTGGATTGGACTAAACGGTTGGACATTTATGATCGACATTTCCTTTCACCCCTCCTAACCAGCAAACCAGCCAACTAGCCAACTTACATAGCGTACATACATTCAACAGGCAAGTTGTCATTATGTGCATAAGGTAGTTAGTATGGAGATAGAATCCATTCTTCAATGAATTCATTCTGCAATGGATGGATGGCCTTTATTCACCGTTAAAACCCTCGAAAGCTAACTGACCACATTATTCCTTTTATCGGGCTTATATATAATAAGCTTACAATAACGCCACCTAAGTTATACATAGTAGGCAGGCCAGACAGGTGTATCTACATCTCCACTCACACCCACTCGATGGGAGAGCCGCTTCGTCCTAGCGGCAGATGGCGGCAACCTGACCTTGTCCCATGTGCTCATTGCTATGTATCACCGCTTGATCACCTGCGCAATGCAAGCCGAACCCTCAATGGACACGACCCCATTTGCAGACATATTGTATTATCTTATTGGTTTAACACGCTCCTTGTCATTAGCACGCTATTCTCACTAGGTAAATCCTCACTCGTAAATCGCTAATCCTTGGATGGTAACATCATGTTTATTGCTACTGCTGAGGGGGTTGTTGCTTCGAGTTGGCGCGGAGAGGTAAATGGATATAACAAGGTATTGGGTAGCTTCATTTATTTTCAACATTCACCCCGTCTCTCTTTGTAGGCTTCGAAGTAAGTTGGGCTTTTCAATACTGGTCCATACTTTACCGAGTCTGGAGCCGTAACTGTTTACATTAGAAGACCTATAGATTTGACAGTACTATCGGTAAAGCGTATTCCTGTCAAGAATAGTTGGGAAAGATGGCAGGGGAGGAGAAAGGGATACCAAAGGGCCCACGGAAGGCACTCTTCTGGAGAAAGGCCAATGCTGATGCTGATGGCGAGCGTCAGAAGACCGAAAAGTCTAAATGGAGCATGGGAATGCTGAATGATAAAAAGACTATAGAGGTTCCAGGTAAGTTGTACGGCCTGAATCCTCTGATTCCGGACTAAGTCTAATCTTTCATTTAGGATCTGTCTTGCTCCTTGCCCAGGGTCGAAATGAGCCTCTTGGGCTTCGAAATGCGCCGGCTAGGACATCTCATTCTTCCCTTCCCACAGGCTATCCACAACCAGCGCCGCCACAGCCAGCATCCAGGGAGCAGGATGACAAGAAATTGACCAAAGACGGGCAGATTATCTTAGATCCGCAGCCGGATGATTCACACAACGATCCCTTAAACTGGCCAACATGGCGTCGGGACTCTGCTTTGCTTACCTTAGGTCTTTACTGTATGGTTGGAGGTGGAACGACACCCATTATCGCAGCTGGTTTCACTGATGTCGCGAAGGGTACGTACAGGGGAAGCACCCGCTTACTCGAACGCCAATAATTATCTCTTCTTTTACTAAATTGAAATACAGATTATAATATAAATGTCGCCGACGTATCACTTACTACAGGTTTGTATATGATGGGTCTTGGAATTGGTTGTGTTATCTTCTCGCCTACTGCTATCCTGTACGGCAAACGACCAGTTTACCTTTTCAGTGCCATAATATTCGTCATATCGACTGTATGGTGTGCTCTATCACCTAACTTTACCTCACTCATACTGGCTCGTATCTTTCAGGGAATCGCTGTGAGCCCGGTCGAATGTCTCCCGTCTGCTACTATCGCTGAGATATTCTTCCTGCACGAGAGAGCGTACCGCATTGGTGTGTATACTCTATTATTGCTTGGTGGGAAGAACTTGGTCCCTCTCGTAAGTGCTGCTATTATCGAACGCCTCGAATGGCGCTGGGTATTCTGGTAAGTTCATTCAAGGATGGTCTCAAATATCTATACTTTTCATGCTTCTCCGGCTAACATGACCCCTACTTTAGGATCCTTGCAATAGTTGTTGGTGTTTGTGGCATCCTTCTATTTTTCTTCGTCCCCGAGACCTTCTGGGACAGAACTCCAGTACCAAGATCACGTAAACATCCAAAGCGCCCTACCATTTTTAGTAGGAGGTCCTCGGCCCGACAAGTCTCGAAGTCACATCTAAGCGGGAATGCTGTTCCCACCGGCGAGAAGCCAGAAGGTGCGAGTGACGAGAAGCCTACAGGAACTCGCCATGAGGATATATCAAAGGAAACGCAGCCGCGGCATAAGAAAACCCACGTTGGATTTGCGCCCGGTCCTGAGGGGGAATCAGCAACAGATTTAGGATACGCACACGCCCAGTCTGTACCAGCGACAGGTTCTACGGCACCGCTTAATGGTAGAAACGATAGAAACGATAGAGACGATAGAGACGAATATACAGCAGCTGGAGAGGAGATAACTGCTGTACCCACGACGACGGCCGATGATATCCCACACACTCCCCGTCCGATTGCTAGCCGCACACAGTCGCATAGCAGTGCATGGTCACGGGCTAACTGGGATGGCTCAGGGCATCTTAGCTCGTCAACGCCAGACTCGCGTAGTTTCCATTCGCCATTCTATCAGCGTCATACTGATGATTATTTCCGAACGGAGGAGGGGAGCGTGCCTCATCCGGCTCCAGGAACCGTTCATTCTGATACCGAGAGCGAGAAGATATCGTTCTCAAATTTAGCGACGATAACCACGGGACAGGCTTACACACACGCTTTGCGAAACGCACCGCCAAAATCCTTTACCCAGCAGTTGAAAGTGCACCATGGGCGGCTTAGCCAAGACAAATGGTGGAAGGTAGCTATTCGTCCTCTAATCCTCTTTTCATACCCCTCAGTCCTATGGTCGGCCGCGGTATACGCCTGCTCGATCGGCTGGTTGATCGTGATATCGGAATCAGTGGCTGTCATCTATCGAGAAGGTAGTTATAAGTTTAGCGCGTTGGGAACGGGCCTTGTCTACATATCACCTTTCGTAGGTGGTGTTCTAGGCACGGCCGTGGCAGGCAAGGTTAGCGATATCATCGTTAGGGCGATGGCACGGAGGAATGGTGGTCTATACGAGCCCGAGTTCCGGCTCGTGATGGCCGCGCCAATTTTGGTGACCACGGTCATCGGGCTCATGGGATTCGGGTGGTCAGCTTACGACAACGACGCTTGGATTGTTCCGACCATCTTTTTCGGAGTGGTCTCGTTCGGTTGCTCGCTGGGTTCTACGACATCGATCACATTTTGCGTGGACAGCTACAGGCAGTATGCAGGAGAGGCTTTAGTCACTCTAAACTTCAGCAAGAACATATTTCACGGACTAGTATTTAGTCTATTCGTCACCGAATGGCTTACGAGTGAGGGTTCTAAGACGGTGTTTATCTGGATCGGCATTATCCAACTCATTTTGCTCCTATTTACGATACCCATGTACATCTATGGCAAGAGGGCTCGCATGTGGACTGTTAGAAAGAATTTTATGGAAAAGTTCTAGACAGCTCCTAGCTCTCAGATAACTGTTTAGATATGGTTTGGTTGACATCGAGGGTTGGCTTCCATCATGCGTCAACTTGATCTATAAGACGATTTCATTCTATGGTTGAATCATGGAGGATTTGGTATAGCATCTATAGACTATGGCGCTTAACGGAGGTAACGATTTATATATATATGTATGTGTATTTATGTTTATGTTTATCTATATTCATTATAGATAAGAGTATAAATATTCCAATATAAATATTTTAATATGTGATATAACGAATATGTTCTACGTCATCTATGTTAAAAGGTACTTATGTAACTACGTGTATTTAATTACGTAATAACACACGTAAATATCCTAAAGAGTATGGATCCGTATTTGTATTCACTTACATGTAAGTTGTTATATTCTATGTATGCTCCATAATCTTCTTTCAAGCATCTAATTAAGCACAATGAGGGCTAGAATTAGGTTACCAATGTTGTCGGGTTTTTACCGGACTCCAGTGCGGACCTTTTCTTTGTCACTCCATCTCAACAGCGCCAACCAAGTATATTCTTCGTAAGTAAAGGCAACTTGGTTCTCACACAATACTATTCTTTTGCCTTACAACTGACCCTGCTTGCTAGTGTTCGCCAGCCCGATAACTTTCACACATATCAGCTCTTATCCTCTTCCTCAAGAACCCCCCTCATAACCCTGTGGACCACTTCATGGTGTTCTACATGCCATGTTGTAGCGCCACTCATAAAATCCGTCATTGAGTCTGGAGTAGGTGAGGCTGAGGGTGGCGTCGGATATTGCGAGGTTGAATATGATGCTCCCGATATCATGAGCAGCTCGCTCGGCATGGACTTCATGATTACTTCTATACCTACGCTACTCAGTTTCGACGCCGGAGAGGCCCAAATCAACACCAAGATAACTGATGGAAGGAGACTAGCAGACCGATCTTTTTTGGAAGAATGGATTCGAAACGAGGCGAGGAGACATGGCGGTCGTGGCGGCGGAGACTCAGGGATTCTTGGTGGGTTATTTGGTTCGTGGAAATGAGGTACGATCAACCTATTTGGTCTATTATTATTGATAGCGAGTGTCATACTACCTGTGATAGGATCCGCATATAGTGTACGTATGTCGTATAACTCAGATACCAGGATGCGAGAGTTACTCAGCAAGCTTTATTTCATTTTGAACTGAACGTATCGTCATACATATGCCATAGAATATGGGGTCAACAGACGCAAGTGCTATATAAGTACAATTATACCTGTACGCTTGTAACGTGAAAATTGCTTAACTACTGACCATACGATTTTATTTCTATTCTAAATAAAACACCTCCTCAACCTCCCTCCACCACGAAGGGCCGGATTCACTACTATGAGCGCCGGGTACGAAGCTCTACGATCAAACCCTGGTTAGCATCCTAGGGGCTCTCTCCTCTCACCAGTGGAACTTAGGAATATTCACCTCTTGGAAACCATCCGTCATTGCCCACCACTCTCTTACTTTTGGATTCTCTCGCATACGGGCCATATCGTCGGCATAGTCGCTTCCAACATATTTAAAGCTCGCGAAGAGGATACCCGTACCGGGGTCATGAAATATGCTGTCTGTAATTGTCAAGAAAGGGGGAATATCAGTCTCAAAACAGTTGACCCTGGATAGTTTAAGTATAAGAGAGGTATCTTACAGTCTTCGATATTGCAGGCCTTGATTTGCTCTAGAACCTCGGGCCACTTTGACGGAGTTAGTACTCCCTAAATGCCAAAAGGAAGCTACAATAATGATAAAGGCTCCTTATATATAAACCTCACATACCACAGCACTGTGTACTTCTTTATATTTATCAATAAACTCTGGCTTCAGCTTAACAATCTGCGCGATACGACGCGCCGTCTTCTTAGACTCCGGATCGGGCGATTTAGTGATGCGAGTAGGCGGCGGAGCGTGCGGTTTCCACATGATGGAAATAATAATGGAGGGTAGATGTTACTTATTGGTTTAAGTTTGTATCTTTCTTTCCTTCTCTTTCTATTATACTGCTCACTTTGCTTTAGATCTCTATAATCCGCCGGGTCTGCCTCGTTCCTACGTAATCTACGTAATGTACACCTCTAGTCGAAGGGCTACCGGCGGGGAGGTACTTGATTAGTTTTATATGGGGTTCGGTGGAAGTTCACCGCGAGGCGTCTAGAACTAAGGGACACAGCTAGACGCGGGGAAACGAATGAACCGAAACGGCCAAATCTAGACTCGCTCGCGTTTATGTATTAATAATTATTGGCCTATGAGGATATTCCCCTTACCTTTTACCTTTCTCAGCTTTCTTTTTCTATAGAAGAAAACACCAGCATTGTTTCACTCTTTTCTTAGCCTCGCACCAATCACTTAGAACATATTCGTAGCCTGGCGTCTATAAATCCCAACTATCTATTAGCTTACATCTAGGTTCCGCGAACCTTCAAGGGCCTTCATACCGGCCACCGGTTTGTTTGATAATTCTACAAATGTGATTAACGGTCACGTTCGGCAGACCCCCTTTAGACGGGCCTGCTTATTTTATATGCCAAACTCCACCCATGCAACAGCCTGTCCCTCCCCTTTCATATACCGGGTTTATTTTTCTTAAGCCAACAAGTAATAACAATATCGGGTTATAATCGTCCTATGTCGGCCGGTTCCTTCCATCCTATATTGATATAGATCTATGCTAGCTGCCTCTCTTAGAGACAGATGCCTGCTAGAAAATTGAAAAGCCGCCCCCAATTCACTCCTTATTAAAACCGCGCGCAATCATCAGAGTAAGCTGTATTAAACTTCGAAGGGGAACGGACGCATCGCTCGGCGGCCGAGAAAAAGGCGTTACGCGTATATCGCTTCGATTAAGTAGATGAGGCCAAATACCAAAAATGCAATAGCACCACCCACCGTCACTATGAAAAGACTCATGTTAGTAACTAGTTGTAGAATATGGCAGTTCTCATCTATCTTAACTTACCAACTTTCAAGCTTACTTTGCCGGCGATGGCCCTGCCGCCGAGGACAGCTACGCCGGTACAACATGCGTGGCCCAGGACGGCGCCTAATGTCACCCACCAGTAGTCTTGACCAGCAGCCATGGCAATCGTTGCAATCTGACTACGATCTCCCCACTCCCCCAAGAAGGTCATGACAAAAGTTTGCACCCACGCGGGACTAAGAAGAAGCGAGAAGAGGTTCGATAGACCAACGCCAAATCCGCTGAAAATGTTACGGCGAGGCGACGGACTCCTACCTGGAGAGGTCGAGGGGCTTCGAGGTGGGGTCGGGAATCGAGACTGAGACCTTGGTTTCCGTTCGCTGCTGAGCCCCATCTCTAACGCGTACGGAGATAGAGAGGAGCGCCGTCTACCCTGCTTGAGTGCCAAGTGTTCCTTCTCCTGCAGTTCCATCTCAACCTCTTGCATCTCTGCCGTGACGCCCTCGTTTGGATCCATGGCCATGCCTTCACGTAGCAACTTCGCGCCAAAGATAAAAAATAGTCCTGAGGCTAGGAAAGTTGTCACCCTCTTCGGGATCAGGGCTGGGACCGTATGACCCATTACGGCAGATAGGACAGTCATGACCAGCAAGGCGCCAAATGCAGCCGAGAATACAAGCATACGGTCATGCTTCATGGCCATGAGCGCGGCAACGAGGAATGTTTTATCACCCACCTCAGAAAAGAGGATCATGGTAAGAGAAAGCACAAAAGAGTGGAAAGGTTGAATAAGGCCTTCGTTGCCCTCATCATCTTGCTCCCAGGTCTTGGTAGTAGATTTGGTAGGTTTCGATACGTCGAGATGATCTTTATTGGCCGAGTCAGGGACAGGATTCGGGTCGTCGCGTAGTTTACCTGGTAGGTCTAATGGCTTCTGTGCGGCAAGTTAGTGCCCTAATAGTAACATATAGGGTTGTCTTCATACCTCGAGTCCGGAAACATCATCTGGAGTCTGGTGTAGGTCGACTTTGCCCTTTTCCTTCTTATTAACTTTTTCGCTCGTAATCTTTTCTTGCTCACTATGCGGCAACGGTGGTTTCTCCTTTGGGGTTTCGGGCACGTTCTCAACCTTCTCCCCAGTTACACCCTCTTTAGCTTTCTTGGCTTTATCCTTCTCACTCACGCCTCCTTCGGTACCGGTAGTGCCCTGCTTAGGAGGCTGACGATGGGGGTCATCCATGACGCCGTCGTTACTCTCGGGTATCTTCTTTCCATCGATAACTGTAGGATCTACCGGCCGGTCTTTCAAGGAAGGGAGGGGTTTGGTGTCTACAACGTCATTGGCATCACCCTTCTTGCGCCCCTTGTCGGTCGTTACGAAAGGACCCTCATGCGGCATCCCATCTTTACCATCTACTGGCGCGATCTTGGTGCCGACATCGACTTTGGTCGACTTGGAAGATCCGGCAGCTGGGTCCAGAGATTGGGACGACGCACTGCCCGCGCCCACAGCAGGAACATCTTTTGCAGGTTTCGTATCTAGTGTAGATGCGGCTAGGGCAAGGGAGGGTAGAAGTAGAAGAATAAACGGCGTTCGTCGTTGACGGAGTCTCATGATGGGCACGAGAATAGGTAATCTAGTAAGGTTGAGGTTATTGCTGGAGATGTGCAGTCGCCAGCTCAAATATGATACGAACAGGTTTCCAACCAAGCGACTATTATTCTACAAATATGGCAATGTTCCTTCAAAAGCCTGCGGCGGAGCCAACGCAATGCGTGGCTAACAAGGATAAGAAGACGGTGCGATCCCTAAAACGGGGGCTAGTTTTAATTTAGATGTACAGGAAAGACAGAAGAAGAAGGATAACGCCAATGAAGAGGAATGTAAAGATTATTAGATTATAGTGCTAGAAGAACCTTTACTCTTGAACGGAATCGGCGTGAAAAGGGGCAAGAAACTTGAAGGTGGAAATAACAGGGCAGTATGGAAGTGAGTTTAGGTAAGTACCCAAGGTACGTGCGTGGTACGTGGTATGTACGCGACAGTAGAAGACCGAAAAGCTGGGGGGTTACAGGTGGTACCCACAAATTACCCTTGCAGCCGCAACAATTGCCTTTTCACTGTACTAGCTCCAAATAGCCCCCAAAATGTACCTAAGCTACCTACCTAGGTACCTATTAAGTCTGCTGCTATACCTGAGGCACCAACCCATATTTAGGTCCTGTATTTGAGGCACAGCACTGAAGCCGGTTAGGGCCGTGTCACATGTAACAAGTCACATGATATATAGAGTAACTAAATAATATACCTATCCTGTAGCTACATGTACCCACTATAGAACGTACCTGTATATAATAAGACAATAGTAGGTATAACCTCAACTTTAATAGCAAGTCTAGATAATTAATCACAACCACTTTCACTTAAGGAATAATTACACATTTACTTTTACCGGTTCTTTGATAAAGTAACTGTTCATTGTTAGGATTATATAAAGTCTGTGCGTTTTGTTTATAGCGGGGAAAGTTAATTAAAGAGCCAGCCAATAAGATGCGGACCCTAACCCTAACCCCAACCCTGTCCGCCCCAGAAGTTATATAACATCGAAAACGGCATCAGCGACAATAATAACAGTCACAATTACAACAACGACAACGACAACACTAACAATCAACACCAATCCTCACAGAAAAGTAGTTGCGCATCGTGAGTTTTCCACGCACCTATAGGACCAGCATACACATCCTTGATCTATAATGTCTGGGCGCCGTCGTCCAGCGACGCGTCAGACTGAGACCGCTGAGCCAGCGGAGCCGGTCGCGAGACAAACTCGACGAAGCGCTAGACTTACCGAAGCATCTGTCGAGCCTGAATCCCGATCGCAGATTGAAATCTCTCGACGTGGTACTGGACGTCGTCGTCGTAAGAGCCTTGAGAGCAGCGCGACAAACGAGGCACCGAAAGACTCTACAGATAATGTGAATTCCGAGCTAGAAAACGACCCAGAAGATGAACCAGAAGATCTTGGTATGCTGTTTCTGGACTTCGTGTGCTAGCTTTAACTAAGTGTTTTGTAGACTTGGCCCCGATATCTGAGCTTGCCATTTCCCAGAATGACGCAGGATCCGAGACAGACGATGTTTATGAGTCATTGGAGGTGGACGCTTCTAGAATTCAAGATATGCTCGACTTTGATATACCCAAACTCACACGCTGGTCCGGCAACATGTACAGCGTCCTATCATCTATAGATAACAAGCAGCCAAGCGCGGAAGATCGTTCAAGGTTAAGCCGCACCAGAAAATCATATAATCACGCCCGCCTTCCTTTTGCCGATACCAACGCCTTTCTCATAAAGCCTATCAACTTCTCCGAGGACTATGGTCCAGAAGTTCAAGTCAAGATACAAGTAGCAATCTGCTCTGGAAACATTATATCACTTCTTGCCTCCATTGTAGACGTCACAGTTGGCAAAAAGGGATCGCTCCCGATTCTTGAACATCTAGATGACTCTTTCCCGGTCTCGTTCAATATACATTCTCCGGGGAATGATGACATAGAGCGGCTTCTAGATCTAGCATTCCGTATTCGTTGTCGTCACGTAGTTAAACTACTGACTACTAGGCCTTCCGTTGACCCATATAAAGTGGCTGCCAGTATATTCTATAGCCAGTTCTCGCATGCTCCTGACGGCTCCCGGGTGGTTGCCAGCCAAGAACAATACAAACCTTTGGCTGGGATCAATATTAGCGAAAACTCCGACCTCCATGAAATCTATCAAGCTCGCATTCAGGAGATTATCTCTATTCTTTCTTCCGATGACATATCTAAAGTGGAATCACGTCTAGATCAAGATTGCCCCGAGGAAAAACTCTTTAATGACCTCAGATCATGGGGCCTAGATATGTATAAGCAACTTAATAGTATGCCGACAGACCAGGGAAACGTGGAAGCCGCCAAACCAGCAAGAGGAGAAGATATGCATGCACTAGTAAGACGTGAAGAATCAGAGCCTCTTTTCGTCAATAACAATGAAGAGACTAGAGGAGACTCTGACTCTGAATCAGACACAGACGTTACAGGATATGATAAACTGCCAACCCAAGAATCTAAGTACGTTTGCAGTCGTGTTTCTAGTTCATTCTGAGGTTGTACTAACACCACGTAGTCGGAATTTCATTAATAGTTCCGCCATCCTGGCCGCCGTGAGGCGGAGCGAGAATCAGCGTGTATCAAGTTCTATATCGGTACCGCCTCCTAATCAACAAGCGATAGAGGGTAATGGGCATAGATCCAATATCAGAGACGCAATCCGTGGCTTAGATCCTAGCCAGGTAATTAGTCGTAGGAGGAAACGCCCAGCTCCTAGTGAAGATGATGCTAGCGAAGGCGATGATGACTTTGAAGTAAATACACAACTTTTTAACGAATCCAGGCGGTCTCGTAACGAAGATGCAACTGTTCAAAGACCGCCTTCTGAACGCCCCCGAACCTTGGAACAACCTCGGATTGTGCGTCGCCAGCAAGTTACTAAGGAGCGGCCGCGGAGCGACATATCTGAAGATCTTAATTTACAGGAACGAGATATTGTCAGGTTAACTCAGGAGGCCCGAGATGCTCGACGTGCGACCTATGTGAACAGGGCCAAGCCCCGGCAAATTCGCGTAGCGTGGTCCTTCTCTGATACCTCCAAACTCTTGGACCTAATCGCTGATCAATCCGTAAATTGTTCATGGAGCACCATTGCGAGAATAGGCGATTTCGAAACCCCACGAAACCAGCAACAAGTACGTGATAAGGCCCGTGGTTTGAAAGTTTTGTATCTAGAAGGTGACCAGGTTTTGCCACTGGGTTTCGATCAAGTTGTTCTAGGCCAGAAAGAAAAGGCTGCAGTCATCAGGTGTGGCAAGAACCCTGATCGGCAAGAAGACGACCTAAATGAATATGGCGAAATTACCAATAATATATGGATTGGTTGAGACTAGGGGACTTGGTACTTTTTATTTTTATATTTATTTTTTTATATTTAGAGGTGTGCCTACTATATCCAGTCTGGGTTAGGGAGTGGGAGGCTTATTAGGTGTATTCTTTTTCGTTATTCTATGCATTGCAGTCATCGAAATGGCGTTTCAGCAGATAGATACCCCTGTTAGACCAGTTCTGGCTTGCAATAAGGAATTAACCCTTTAATAATGCTTCTTGATAACCATACCCTTAGCCACTTGTTAGTTGTGCTTCATCGTCTGTCTCATGCTGCCATGGATAGCAACGGTCCAAGGAGAATCCATCAGGTAGGTTTGCGGATACAGTATGTTCCAAACTTGGTGATGTTACCACTATAATTCGGTCGCCTTATCCATAAACAGGTCTCATAGCTCTTTCTACATTACTCTAAATAACAATTGCCGGCTTATATACACTAGATAATAACAAGCGGAGTTAAGCTGGAAGTCCGAACTAGGAATAGTCGGTTACATGCAGGCTGGCAAAATAACAAACCTCATTCTCGCATTCTCGCATTCTGGGTAGTATCGGATTCGAGAATCTGGAGTTGATCCATGACGTATCAGTACGAGACTACAAAGTACCAGAGTAGCAGATCTCACATGACAAAAATTTAATAGCCGCTGTAACAGGAGCCAATAAGGTTGTATATAATTTACCTAAGGCTCGATTGTGTGGAGTGTTTTAGCAGGTTGGGCAGCTATCAAAAGTTTTTTTCTTCTTCTTTCTCTTCTGGTTTGTTCGAGCTTGTGGTTCAACATGTACGGACTGCAGGTAGGATAGTACGTACTTGCCCCCCGGTCTGAGTCACCCGACGCATAGGGTATTTGCCTTTAGTAGAAAGTACTGGCATCTATACGAGTCTGAAGGGAAAGGGAGGCACAATAAATAGGTACATACCTACCTTAGGTAGGTATATGTGGTATATGTGGTACATGTATTTATTGTAGCATTGAACTGTATTAAATCAAACTTTCCTCGAAGGACGTCACCCGAAGCTCGCATCTTTCCTAGTTATATGGATTTATGTGTAAGGAAGGCTCAAATAATTTAGTATTTATTTACACGTAATATCCAATTCTGTGGATTCCAATGGAAGGAACTTCTTCTCTCATTGAGATAGGTAGATTTAATCTACTAGTACTTTTTGGCACTGTCTGACTGCGCTTATATAATTGATAATTGTTCGTTCAAAGTGGTTCGACTGGCCTACAAATAGATAGTCCCAACAGTAGAGAGTACCTCAACCTACACGCAATTGGATATATACATACATATAATGGAAGTCGCTTAACCTTAGATATCCGCCAAAATTGAAACCATAAAACGTACCGCGTATGTATACATGTGTGTATCCATAGAAGTAGGTACTTGATGAGCCACTACATAGTACACACACGGTATGTTTTAGCTTGGAAAAATTTGAACCAATAGATAGCTACAAACCTTAAAGATTAGTTAGATTAGGTACAAAGTACAGTAGGAAAAGGAAAAATATCAAAGAAAAAAAAAATTTCAGTTTGTGAATTGGGAAGGAGGGGTGCGCAAGCAGGAAGGGCCTAAGGAGGGGCAATGCCCCCACAATCAGAAATCTACCTTAGCCACCGTCCGAAATAATTTATAAACCCCTACACACCCTCGCCAACACTCCTCTGAGTTTCCTTTTGATCTTCGTCTCGCACACCGTTAATCAGAAGCATTAACACCTGCTGAACGTGAGAATCCCCTCCTTCCCTCTCCTTCTTCCATCAACAACTTCATCTATCCTATCTACCACTACAGGACTGCTCATACGATTAGTAAACTAACCATCATCTATGCAGTTTTCGTGTCTCCCTTCATCACACAAATAGAAATCAGCAAGCTTCTACCGCCAAAATGGGGTATGTAGAAAACCCTTATCACGCTCTTCACGAAGCGCTCCATTGCTAACAAACCTATAGTAAGGAAGACAAGACTCACATCAACGTCGTCGTCATTGGCCGTAAGTTTCCTGATTGATTTCTACGCGCACCATGACAGATTCCTAACTGGTCATTTCAGACGTCGACAGTGGCAAGTCCACTACTACCGGCCACTTGATCTACCAGTGCGGTGGTATCGACAAGCGAACCATCGAGAAGTTCGAGAAGGTTAGTAACAATTCATTGTTTACATTTATCGCGTCGTGAATCATGCTTGAATCCACAAGAGTTCTTAGGACTTGAAGTTCTTGCTGTTTCGCTTCAACCGCGTGCCCCTCCTCTGTCACGATTCAACCCCCACCGAGGGGCACAAAATTTTCCCTACCCCGCTCTGACGTTCTGCACAACATTTTGGCGCACGGAGCAACCAGCCCTAGACATGCCAAGTGATCGTATTGTATACATATATTAAAGAAGCATCTACTGACCCACTCAATAGGAAGCCGCTGAGCTCGGCAAGGGTTCCTTCAAGTATGCCTGGGTTCTTGACAAGCTAAAGGCTGAGCGTGAGCGTGGTATCACTATCGACATTGCCCTCTGGAAGTTCGAGACTCCCAGATACTATGTCACCGTCATTGGTATGTTCCCTCCTACACTAGACCTGTTAAACTTAGCCTAGATACTAATGTTGCCTTTGCTTAGACGCCCCCGGTCATCGTGACTTCATCAAGAACATGATTACTGGTACCTCGCAGGCCGACTGCGCTATTCTCATCATTGCCGCTGGTACTGGTGAGTTCGAGGCTGGTATCTCCAAGGATGGCCAGACTCGTGAGCACGCTCTGCTCGCCTACACCCTTGGTGTCAAGCAGCTCATCGTTGCCATCAACAAGATGGATACTGCCAAGTGGGCTGAGGACCGATTCAACGAAATCATCAAGGAGACCTCCAACTTCATCAAGAAGGTCGGCTACAACCCCAAGACTGTTGCCTTCGTCCCCATCTCCGGTTTCCACGGTGACAACATGTTGGCCCCTACTGCCAACGCTCCTTGGTACAAGGGCTGGGAGAAGGAAACCAAGGGTGGCAAGGTCACCGGCAAGACTCTCCTTGAGGCTATTGACGCCATCGAGCCCCCCAAGCGTCCCACAGACAAGCCCCTCCGTCTCCCTCTCCAGGACGTCTACAAGATCGGTGGTATTGGAACTGTGCCCGTCGGCCGTATCGAGACTGGTATCATCAAGCCCGGTATGGTCGTCACCTTCGCCCCCGCTGGTGTCACCACTGAAGTCAAGTCCGTCGAGATGCACCACGAGCAGCTTACCGAGGGTGTCCCCGGTGATAACGTTGGTTTCAACGTGAAGAACGTATCCGTCAAGGAAATCCGACGAGGAAACGTCGCCGGTGACTCCAAGAACGACCCCCCTGCTGGCTGTGATGACTTCACCGCCCAGGTCATCGTTCTCAACCACCCCGGTCAGGTTGGTGCTGGTTACGCCCCTGTTCTTGACTGCCACACTGCCCACATTGCCTGCAAGTTCGCCGAGCTTCTGGAGAAGATTGACCGACGAACGGGTAAATCTGTTGAGAACAACCCCAAGTTCATCAAGTCTGGTGATGCCGCCATCGTCAAGATGGTTCCCTCCAAGCCCATGTGCGTTGAGGCTTTCACTGACTACCCTCCTCTGGGTCGTTTCGCCGTCCGTGACATGCGACAGACCGTTGCTGTCGGTGTCATCAAGGCCGTCAACAAGAGCTCAAAGAGCGGCAAGGTCACCAAGTCCGCCGCTAAGGCCACTGGCAAGAAATAAACTCGCCAATCACAACTGGACTGCAGCCGCGGGGATATAATGTGTCTTCGGCTGGTTAGCGGCCATGGGCCCTTGACGACACGACTATGCCTCTACGAATTTCCTTTGCTTTTGACACGATCTGTTCTCTCGGACATCTGATACCGAGCGCAGTATGAGAGGAAGGGTTATGGGCATTTCCGCGACAAAACTTTCTCATCATGTGCTTGTAGTAAAATAGAGTCATAGACCGTGACCCCTCTTATTCATGCTGTGATTGTGATTTGTCGTGTCTTTAAAGTGATTATAAAACTCTGCCTTACTACTTCGCTCTGCCTCCCCTTGATTAAATACGTTGGCTCTTATTTCGTCAATCGTATTTTAATGTTGGAAGCGTCCCTCTCCCTTCCGAAATGTGACTGGCCCTAATTGGTTTTGCTTAATGAAGAGTTGGTATATTAAATCATTGCTACATCAATGCTATCACGGTTGATGTTTTTGTTAAACAGTCTTCATATTTGACATGATAATTGGGAAACGTAATAATTTGAGATTACCTGCTTATGGAACCGATGTGCCGGTTATGCACACACTATCGAGATTGTAATATTATATCTATAACTGGGTAAGGTAGAGAGAGCTTTCGCGTGTAACCTAGCCTTGACTACTTTACGAAATAGTAAGAAGTACGAAATCTTCATGAATTCACACACTATATTACACAATAGTTTGTAGCTAGGTGACCAAACTCGTAGTTACATGCTATGGAGTCCTGACCACAGCATATCTGTGTTGGCGAGCTTTTGGCAGGCTGCCAAGAAGCTGTCGTGATATCTACCCGCGTCTCCCTTAGGGGGACCAGCGCCAGTTTCGGGTTCTAAGGTAACTTCCGCTCTCCGCCCGCTCTCCGGTCCTGCCTCTATAGACGCATATGATAATTTGAATCCTTCATATGACATTGAGATTGAGCGATGAATCTCTAGACTTGCTAGCGTATATTCGGTATCGAGATTTCGCGGTGTTCCGGATTCGGGGCTAGCCGTAAATGCGGTAGGGTCGCCGGAAAAGCGCCGCATAGATGGATACCAGGGGACGGAGAACGACTGCTTTGGCGGCGTCTTGAACTCGCCGCGCTCTAGGTCGAATTGCGATGACTTGAGAAACGCGTTCAACGGCTCCCATGAAGCGAGCTCAGAAAGTCTGCCCTTGGGCACCGCGTACTGGGCCTGTGTGAAGCGTAGGTCAACGAGGGACGCGGGAAGCATGACATCCGTTACTTGTGTTCGCTTTATGGCACGGAAGCTCTCGATGCCATTTATTTCATTGCCAGACACTGCGAGGCGAAGCTCGAGGAGAGGCGCGGGAGGAGTGGTAACGCTTGGTATGCTAGGTTTGGCTTTCCGCTTCTTTTTCTTTTTGCTTTCGTTGTAAGTGGGGGTGAGGATGGGCGTCGGCCAGAATCGGATAACTACTGAGGTTCTTGTCTTCACAGGCGATTGGGTCCCATTATTATACTTGGTAAGCTGAATAGCATGCGGCGTGGCGGCGGCGAATACTCGGGGGTGGTTGGCAGCTAAGAGGTCAGGTAAATTAGGAGGTGAGGCAGAGAGGCTGTTCGCGTGTAGCAAAGAGCCAAACTGCGCTATAGTTGATACTTGGAACTCCTTCGCCCATTCCACACTATCGTAAGGGTATAGTAACACATCTGACGAAGGCATATCGAGCCCATTGGAAATGGGCAATTCGGGCTGTAGTGTAATGGGGAGCTCAAGTCTGTCAAGTCGTTTCATTACTGCTGGATCGCTGTCTTCGGATGCCACTGGTAGTATGTAACGAGCCCACGCACCCGTCCTGTCATTCCATTCCAGTTTTTCTTTGCTTGCAGTATTCATAACAAACCTGGCTGTAGCCTGATTTTCTAAGTCTACTGCCAAGAGAGTAGCTGTCGTTGCTGGCTGTGGGTTGAAAGCGGTAAGTAGTAGACGGAAGACTTCATCGCCTGGAGACCTTAGGCCTCTAGGACTTTGCGAAGCATGTCCTTCGGATTCGATCCAAGTTATATGAAACTGCGTAAATATAGTTAGTACAGGTATGAGAAGCATTATTTGAAAAGGTTGCTGGCTTACCTGTCTGGTAGTTTGGTTTAGCCTAACATGTGTATTTGTGATACGTCCTACTTCTTCCAGTACCGCTTCGTCGAGGGGCTCTGAGGCGACGAAGTCGGCCAAATAGCTTGCTTCGGTGATCTGTTTAAGTATCTTGGCTAACCCTTCTACTAACGTTGAAGCCTTTGTTTTCGTCGCCACGATGCGTATAGTCTTTCTATTCCGGAATGCCTCAATCTTCTCTCCAGGGTCTAGCAATATGTGGTCCATAAACGTCATCCATCGCCGAGTACCACCTATTGAGGGATTAGCAAGACTTGCTCTTGAGAGGGAAGTATAGGCGACGGACATACGCATAAGTAGGAGAAACCTAGAGTTTCGAACCTTGATATTTATTTCACCAAGCCCAGCATTGAGCTCTGCAATAGAAAGACCCCAACATTTACGCATGATCCGTAGTGCGAGTTCCTCCTTCAAAGTGGTCGACTCCGTTGTGTATCCATGCAGGCTAATATTGCCATCTCCGACGGGGTCTGAATGGGATTTTAATGGCACCCATGGACTAATATCTCTGGCCCAACTATATTTCCTGAAGACAATCTCCGATGGATTTGCCAAGTCGAATTTGGGTGAGCTGCCATCTCGTTCGTGATGCTCGAGATAATCATGAAGCTGGCCAGTCAGAAAGCCGTTTATCAACTCGGCTTGCAGCTTGCGGAAGTCCTTTTCCCGCATAGTAGTATCTGATTTTGGTTTTAAATTATGAATATTGTCATGGACCTCCTCTGGGGTTGGCGTTTCTCGCTGGAGGTTGAGTAGAGCCTCGAGATTGGCAGGCCGGTTGTCGGGATTATCGTCGGGATCATCAGGGACAGAGGGATTATATTTTCTTCGACGCAGGCCTTCGTCCCTCATAATAATCACAGAGGCAGGCTTGCCTAGCATATTGGTACCAAGACTCCCTGAATCCTCCTTGAGGATACGATTGCGAGAAAGACGCCTCTTGTGGAGGGTCAAGGTCTTAGTGCCATGTCCTGCGCCATGTTCGCGCTTCCTATCTTGCGCTTCATATTTATTTTCCGAATTTTCCGAATTTCCATTCTCATTTTCGGGGGCTAGATCATTGTCGAGAGAACGGGCGGTTGAATCCCCATAAAAGCGTCGCAGGGTTAAATGCTGGGTTCTAGTAATGCGACTAGAGGCTTGAAAAGGCTGAGCGTTCTGATGAAGAAGACGCAGTCGGCATCTTAGACAGATTGCGCCGCTAGTCACTCTAGTGGCTAGCATGAAGAAGGAATGAAGAGATCCTCTGGGCGACTAACAGGCCAAAATATATAATGTATAGGCCAATCTCTATTAGAAAATATAATATCGTAGATAATAAAAATAAATAAAAGACTACCTTAGATAATAAAATATTTCGCTTCTCGCTCCAACTTTTTTTTTTAGTCTACTTCTTAATCGGGTAATCAGCTATGGGATTGTGCATATGTAGGCATAAGTCAATATAGGTACGTATAGTTTATCGATTAATAAACGATAGTTAGGTACTATCGATAAAGTTGAAGTGGGATCTATCTACGCGTACAGGAGTAAGTAATTAAAACGTGTCTTAATTCAATCTCCCCGCTAAGATCGTAACATTTAGGACATTTAGGAGTGGATCCCCCTACCTAAGGTATCTTGCATTCCATACTTTTACACACTTTTACAAATTAGAGTATTCTCTTCACATCACTATCTACAGCCATGCCTCCACAAACCCAGACCCAAAGACGGCGGAGAACAGGTAATAACGACAATACCAACGAAGCTCGACGGCGTCGCCAGTCTCGACACAAGCACGAATCGGACGATTCCGAAGCTTCTGAAGAAGACCAAGATGGTGATGTCGATATGGAGAAGGCAGGTGATGGTACAGATGACCAGCTAGTTAGGAAGCTGGTTCGATACGCCCTAGCATGTGAATATGCGAGGATATCCATTAAGCGAGATGGCATTCGAGACAAAGGTAAGTCAAGTCTACTCAAGATACCCGGCCTACAATTATCCTTTTTCTAAAAAGCTACACATAGTCTTGGGAAGCAATACGAGATCGTTTAAGCGTGTGTTTGAGGGGGCCCAAGCCCAGCTTCAACAAGTCTTTGGCATGGAGATGGTGGAGTTGCCCGTCAAGGAGAAGCGTACGCTAAAAGAGAAGCAGAGTAAGGATTATACAACGGCATGCCTTGTTATCTTTTACTAAATAGTTGACGTAGGGGCGAACGCTAGAAAGGCGGCTTCTCAAAGCACCGCATCCTCTAGACAATATATATTAGTCTCGACTCTGCCACCAGGATACAAATCGCAGTCCATCATCGCCCCGTCACGAATACCGAGTACATCCGAAGAAGCTGCATACGTCGGGTTCTACACTATGGTTATCTCGTTAATTGTCCTCAATGGAGGAGAGCTGAGCGACACGAAGCTACGACGATACTTGACTCGCCTGAATGCCAGCCAAAACCTGCCTATGGACAAGACTGATAACGTGCTACAGAAAATCGTGAGGCAGGGCTATGTCGACAAGGTAGTGGAAAAGAGCGACGGCGATGAGGATGCTGTAACTTGGTGTATCGGGTCCCGGGGAAGAGTCGAGGTTCCGCCGGAAAGTATTGCTGCTGTGATCACCGAAGTCTGGGGCGAGCTTCCGGATGATTTCCACACGAAATTGCAAAGGAGCTTGGGAATACAAGAACTTCAACAAGGCCTTGACGAAAGTGCTATTCCCGAGGAATGAGGGATGAGGATTTAGAGGCGCTGTTAGTTCAGAGCCCAATGTACTTGACGATACCCCGTAATGAAACTACATTTCACACGAAATTATTTCTGATATTGCCACTGTAGGCATTTCAAATCTAATGCCTTATACGTCGTAGTCTTTATCCTTTATTACTTGACCAGAATATAGTCAAGATCGTTCCACCGCCCTGAACTGTCCGATTTAGATGGCGCATCGGTCGTTTGGTGTTGCTGAACAGCTACAAGTGTAGACTGCAGCGTCCCGATCAACTACGCCGAAACTCTTTCTTATTAATTATGCTCGCGTATGGGCTCTTCACCTTCGCGAGGAGGAGGAGGACCACACGGTTGTATCATCTTTCGTAGAAGCTGGGCTCGAACTTTGGCGGCGGGTTCGTTTTGCGCGAGCGAGATGTAGGCTAATTGCGAAGGATGACCGACAAGACTCGAGTACGTGTCGCGCGCAACGTTAGTTCGCCATTCCCACGATGTTGTGTCTGGGTGACCGGTGCCGATGTACTTGGCTTGAAGTCGCTCAAGCTCCTGCTGGGTGCGTAGTTTGTCCGCCTGTATGCTGTTAGCTTTTGGTACTTTGGTTAATCTAGTCAGTCTGAAATACCATATCAGTAGTTTTTTAATCTATATTTCGCGCCGTACAATTTAGCCTGTAATAGTAGACGAGCTGATGGGAAATGCTGAAATTATCTAAGTCGCTGGAAGTCGAAGAAGTCGAAGAAGCAGCCAAGTTTAGTATTCTTAAAGGAAGTTGTTGCTGTAGGTAGTTAATCGCGAAATAAACTAGAAGTACCTGAATTAGGTCTGAGCGCCCCTTGCAGCTTTTAGTCCGTTTTCAGTCCGTTTAGTTACATGACAGCTGACCCAGTAATATGTATCTAGGGAATTCCTCGGTATTTCCTGATAGGACAAAGGGTAATAAAACGCAATAAAATAAAATCGAATAACGAATCCGCGTGGTGCAGTGGTTAGCATGGTGCTGTAAGTTATAAAAAACATATTTCAACCACTTCTTTAACAGTTACTAACATCAACAAATAGCTTATACTTTCTCGTATTGAGATATGCATAGGTCGTGGGTTCAATCCCCACCGTGGATATTTAATTTTTTCCCCAATTCAAGAGAAATAGCAAATTTTCTTAATCATCTTATTTTTATCAATTACCATCACTGCCGCAAATTTACTTCGTAATACCGAGTCTATAACTAATAGCAATAAAGTTACCGAAAAAAAGTTCTCATAATTAATGAGGGTTATAATATATTTAAACCTGTATTTCATACCAAAAAAGCAACACATTACTTATTGTGGTTTAAATTGTAACATCGTTTCTCATTTTTTTAATAAGCTTAAAAGTAGTTTGATTATACATGCAAATGTCGTTACCACTACCATTTATCTCGGGGATACCTTTTCGATCATTTCCGCAAAGCATTACTTACTTCATTTAAGCAAACGCTCTCACTTTCTTTTCAAAGACTATGTAATCTCCTTATAATTTACCAACATTGGGAAAAGGAAGTTTTCAATATTTACAAAAGAAAGGAATGATGTTTTTTTATACGACTAAAACTGCATTAATTCTTTCAAGTAGTTAGTTTGTAACGCTCTGTATTAAATTGATGTATGTAAATATAACTAGTTACCTATATAAAGTTCAATGTTGCATAGAGCTTGGGCATAAGGCTGCAGGTTCTAGATACGTACCTTATCTAGATGTGGATAAGAATACCTAACCCAGGCATCCCAGGCCAGCTTGGGGTTACTTCGATGGCTCGTACCTTTTAATGTTCCAATTAGCACTTAGCACTACACTGCATCTAATACACCAAGTACAAATGCGCGTCGCATAGTGTCTACATGTATAAGTAGATCATCACACTAAGCTTATACCCATACTTCGGGCGTTAGATTTCCACACGTTCCATAAACAGCTTACCGTCATTGCGCATAAATTCTGACTGCCATTGGCCTTCTTTCGAAAATCACCAGGCATTTCAACACGGGGATATAACAGAGCTCTATGAGATCCAAAATTGCTTAGTCTCTATATAATATCGGGATTCGCGATTTCGTCTCTGAAAATATGCTGGAGCCATGGGATGAAGCTATCGCTCTTCAGAAGGAGCGTCAGTTTTGCGCCGATGACGTACAATCTATTAAAACGTCCTGTGCTAAGGACCATGGCAAGAGGCATCCTATCGAGTGTCCAGATTGTTGGACCCGTCTCCTTAACCGCATAAGGGATCGATATCTCAACTCCGCTTCTAAGGAATGGTTTTCTGGCAGGCGGCCGTTTCTACTCGAGCTCGACACTATGTTTTCTAAAGCTCACAACTTTGAGGTCGATCTCAAAGCTATTGAGCAGCGCATAGTTGACGAGAAGAAAGAGTGGTACCGAGACAAAGTAAAAAATATAGGACTTCAACATATTACAAAATCCCCAGTCGAGGATCGAATTCTACAGCAAAAGATCAACGACCGGAGCATATCTGCAGACCAGCTTGCTTCAGAACTGAGGGCGTCCTTTAGCGACGGCGCCGTCAAGAACCAAGAAGCATTCGACGAATTTATAGAACGGCTGAAACATGCTAACCTACCCCAGGCACGGGTCGAAGCCTACATTGATATATTTTTTCAACCTGCTCACGACCCTTCAGGTGCGGCAAGGGCCCAGAAGTACGTCGACATGGTTAGAAATGGGACGCCAATTGCGGATACCATCAATGTCATGATCCGTGACCGGCATTTAGCTAAAGGTGACCAAGATCAGAAACAGGCACTTCAAAAGCAGCTCGAGGAACTGAAGAGGGCTAAAGCAGCACATGAACTGGGGAAAGCGAAGAGCGATAAGGCCCAACAGGATAAGACCAGAGAAACCACACTCCCTGATGATCAGCACTCCCTACCGTCGTGTTCGATATGCTTGAAAGCCCCAGATGCGCAAGACTTTATTATATGTCCCCTATGCCAAATTCTAGGCGATTTTTATAGACTTAGAGTTGAGCCTACCGTCTTCTGTTCCCAGAAGTGTGCAGACGAACGCTATGTAAGTTGTTCTCTCGCTGTGATAGTTGCGAATGAATTCTTACTATTGATAGGACGCACATGTTGAAGCAAGACATGAGTGTGCATCCGGCCAAAAATGTGTCCTCCTCCACGACGAAGATGTCGAGATGGATGACGGAAGAACTATTTTAGTCTTCTGTCGAGAGTGTGTAGAAACGCTCGGCATCCCATCTGTCTTTTGCTCGGCTCGCTGCTTTAACGAGAACTTCCAGCATCATCGCGACAGTGTCCATATTCCCCGGCGGAAGAGTATTCAACATGAGATTAAAGATGAAAATCAGCTTGAATTCGACCCGGAAGATAAGACGAGGTATAGCGCTAGAAAGATCGAAGAGCATCTAGTCACGTTTGATAATGCTATAGCAGAATGGCAGCAGAAAACAAGCGCTACAGTGAAATAAGGGCTACGAAGATATAGAAAATTTCTTCTCTTCTTGTACTTTTATGGATTAAGGACGAGATCGGCTGAATGGAGAAGGGTAATAATGCATATAAAGGTCAACGGCCTGCATTGTACCAAGTTATATCCGGGCCCGGTATGCCTAGATATATTTATATCACACAGCTTAGATGGTTAGACCGTAGGTAGTCCATGTTGAACATGGCTAGGGGGGGAGGGGGGGTGGATGTAAATATACTTATTATAAAAACTTATAATTGCAGGACCTGTACAGGTGCGTTGGTATTCCGAAGTTGCACAGTCTTAATAGTGTACCTACCTAAATGTAATAAAGGTGACCTTGTAAATACCTCTTATGTACGTAAGAACCTTATGCCCCGCAGTCAAAGTTACATAAGCTTTAATATCTCCGAGGGGTTATTTGATTTCAGTTGGAAGGCCGAGACCTAAAGCTTTCCGTGCTCGGCGCCGATTGTAGTTTTGGCCGAGCAAGTACATCCATAAACCAACCAAAAAAAAAGCTACTAAAGCTATCGCCGCGACAATATCGCAATCGGCATTTTGCCATCAGCTACGCAGTTGAAAAGCTAACGTCTCCACAACACCTCCAACTTCTCCTAGACAAACTATATCAATCATATTTAATAACTATACCAACCTGCGATCCGATCTAGCGTACCAACCATGTCCGTTGTCTCAGCCCTGAAGGGCGACTTGCCGCAGCAAGCTCGATCATTGGTGAGATCTACTCTTGCTATATCCAAACCATGTGCTGCACTATAGTGCGCCGACAGCCACAAATCCCAAGCACATGCACTCTATACTTCGTAGTCATAAGCTGGGCTAACATGTACTGCTTTACCGTCTAGTACCGCCAGCTGCTGCGTCAAGGCAAGCAGTTTGAGGCCTACAACTTCAGAGAATACGCGAAGCGCCGAACGAAAGACGCATTCCGAGAGAATGCGGGCGTGCAGGACCCTAGAGAGATACAGACTCTCATACAGAAGGGGCTGAAGGAGTTGCAGATGATGAAGGTACGGTATCTATATATATCTTGTAGTCGGTTGAAGGGTCATTTCGACGACAGGAGGCAGTGTAGCACGACGTTATGAATAGTTTAGCTAATGCTTATATTTTCTCTCATAGCGCCAAACGGTCATTAGCCAGTTCTACCAGATAGATCGGTTAGTAGTGGAGGGCGGAATATCGGTATGTTTCCTAAGAGCCTTAATATTTGCGCAGTCGTATACAGTTGCTAACAACCTACGCCAATAGGGTAAGCAAAGCGGAAAGTCGGGAGATATTTCGCGGCAGAAGGATACAGGGTAAGCATATCAATATTTTGCTGCAAACTACATAAATGTGACAGCAGCTAATATTTGTAGATGGGATTAATACCACCTTGCGCGATACTTTAGACTATCCGCAATAGGGTCACCTCGTTCTTCTTATGCGTCTCGCCTCTACTACACGAGACGTACCAGCCCTGTACCATTACAACTTCATTGTACATCAAGCGCGCGGTTGAATTATAGGCTTGCGGCGTCCGCTCTCCTGGTTCGTAGGAGTATTAAGTCTCGTTAGAGCAGGGAGAAAACGGAAACGGGATTAGGTTAGAATCTGGTACGCATGAAACGGGGGTTACAAAAGTATGGCCTACGAACAAGGCAATGTGCGGTACGGCAAGGAGTACCAAGGTTATCTCACATCATGATATCGAATACCAATTCTGCTCAAGTTGCTTTATATGAACTTATGAGTGATATTTCACCAGTATGTATGTATCTATGCTTTCTTGCCAAGCTAGTAGAGACCATTCAGATATCTGCTGTATTAGGTAGTAATTAATACACTCCTCATTCAAGGCAAATCATTCTGACTAGAGGCTGGCCATCCTGTCTTGGTCATTCCATTTTGACATGGAAAATCACTACTGTCTATATATATATGTGTGTATGTGTGTGTGTGTGTGTGTGTGTGTGAATTGACATTGCGTTCAAACAAGACGCATTATGTTTGTGATTAACAAACAGTTAGATAGATAGGCCTACATAGTTCTAATTGGTATATTATTATATAAAGTAACCCCCTTTAAAGTATAAAAAACCTAACTAGGTAGCTTCAACTATGAATCTAAAATTAATTGCTATGATCAGTTTACATTACTGGATATCAGACCTTCCTTTATAAATAACGAGCATAAGAAAAGAGAAAAGAGAAAAATGAAGGTAGGAAACAAATATTTTTGAAACCCGCAAGCATGAGGCCCCAATATATTTTGAAAGACTAATTAATGCATCTTGTGTTGTGAAGGGTTGACTCCAAGAATAAATATATTTTAACACTTTCTTTAAGCTTAAAAGGTCTATAATATAGAACGTGGTAGGTGCGAATCGAACACACAACTTTCCATATGTTGGAGTGTATGTAGTTTTGACCTCAGTTTAAGGCAACTCCAACAAAAAAATTATGGAAAAATATCATCTACCACTTTACAAACTTGAAATAGCAAAAGGTAAAGTGCGGTGAGTGCGGATCGAACGCACGGCCTTCAGATTATAGAATGAAGTTAGACTTCAGTCTGACGCTCTCCCAGCTGAGCTATCCCCGCTTCATAAGTTTTGCTGAGATTTTAGTCTATCAACCAAACTCGATTTGTCACATCACATCACATCACATTGGGATGGTTGGATCTGTCCAGTTGCAGTCTGACAGTCCTGTTTGTTAGTATGTACCAGTGTACATACATAAGTGGATCTATTGGTGGGTACCTAGGTGGGTACCATAAGGCGTTTAGATTCGTTCAAATTATATAACGATGCTTAGTCATAAGCCTTTGTTGCATTTGTTGTCGCGTTCTCAGAACTCTCACCTGCGCAACGGCGTAGCCATTTCTGTTCTCCGTCGCATGCAAGTCAACTCTCTTGGATAGGTCCTAATACTTCTTGCATTATCCTCTCCCGCCACTGGCTCGCCAATCGCCCTTCGTACAGATACTAAAGATACCAGAGATACCAGAGATAGACATTTAAACTATTAGAATCTCCAATTTATTCGGCAAAGACCGAGAACCCCCCGAATCGCGCGCGTAGCTTCTTAATGGCTTCAAATGGCTCCTAATGTACCAACATCCTGTACCCTTCATCACCATTGTTCAGCCTAGCTAATAATATATTGATTGCAGTTTCGTCCAAATACCCAAACGCGACGTGGAAATCGTAGTGGATATGTAGAACATGACGATTTTGAGGGTATGGTTTGCTTCTTAGTCCTCTATAACGTGTCGCACGTCGCATGATGACAGCAGCTGACTTTGTTTTCAAAAGGCTTGCCCGTAAGACAATGGCGCCAGGAATGGGTTAAAATTGGACCGCCTCCGCCCGCAGATACAACTCAGAAGAACGATATATGGGCAATCGAACTTCCACATGGCATGCCCAAAGATTCGCATTTGCTGCCCACGCACACTCAAGAGTTGCTAAGAGCAGCTCGCTCGGGGAGGCTGTACAAGCGGCCAGCACCCGCGGAAGAAGAGGAGGTTGACCCCGATGCCGCCCTAGCAGAAAAATCGGAGAAGAAGGAGGAGGACCCAAGCATCAAAGGCTATCAAGTCAAAGTTTGGAAACAGGTCGCCCGTAATGCCGAAGGTGCCACTATTTCCCACCTGGCTAAACGGAGGAAAGGAGTTATCACGCTATCGTCTAGCCTTCCGGCTGGCCCGTCATCTAGTCCGATCATAATGAAAGCTACCGTCCGCCGCATCGACGCCGCAGGAAATCCTTACACGCAAGAAATTACATTAAATGAAGGCCAGCCGGTGGATGGGGAGATTATATCGACTACGGTGGTGCCAGCACCTAATACTAATGCAAATGGCGAAACATCTGTGGCTGCGACTCCGGTCCGAAGGCGGCCGCCACCGCCTAAGAGAAAGTCTAAGGGTCCTGGCCGAGGACGGAAGAAGAAGCTGCCTTTGCCAACGAACACACGCCCCGAAGCGACTAATATAGGCGTGGATAATACTACGGATGGTACCAAACTCAATCTTCCAGAATCTGATGTAAGTTATCTTTAGTTAGTCATATCACCACGTACTAACCTAATTGTTGTTAGAATACCAAACAAGACGACCAATCCGAAACCAAAAACCAGGACAGTGAAATGGCCGACGATGATGACGGAGATGATGGAGAAGATGATGGAGAAGATGGTGATGATGGCGACGATGGCGACGAGGAGGACAGCGAAATGCCTGATGGTGAGAACGGAGCGGGTTTCAGAGCTGAAAGCGAAACCAAACCTGATAGCGTCGCTGAAGTTCCTCCAACGATTACTCAGGCTGAGCCCTCCATCGACACGATACCACCGGAGATCTCGCCTAGTGCTGGACCGCTGCTAACAAAAGGACCGTCGCCTCCTTCTAATTCTAACTTAAACCCAGTCCAACCTCTTCCACAGCATGTCCCATCGCAATTCGAAGGAAGCCCGCTCAAAAATGTTGTAGCTGCAACATCACCAGCCGACTTATCGCCGAAACTTCCACCGATCGGAGAAATCGCAAGTACAGTCACTACAACTGATACTAGACCGTCGGAAACGTCATTGGCTTCCGTTCCGGCGTTAACCGATCCCATCGAAACAGTTGCTCAGGAAACGGAATCAGCTGCAGCAAAACTTGAAGTAGACGTAGAGATGACAGATGGACCTCGCCAAGAGCAGACAGAAACTCTGGTTCCGCCCGTAATGGAAGAAGAAGCGCAACAACTGGATATTTCAGCGGTTAATCCGCTACCAATCGTAAATCCTATTCAAGGCGAAGATACTTCTATGCATCGCTCATCACCACCGCCTGCAGTTATGCCAGAGACTACGAATACCGAACAGCCAATCGAAGAGGTTGTTTCTGAGACAGTTGTGAGCGTGGTTACGAATCAAGAACCGCAGGCCCCTGAAGCGGCTTCGGCTCCGGCTCTGGTACCTACCGATGACCTACCAGCTCCTGGGCTTATTGATACCAAAGCCGAAGGTGCTACTATAGAAGGCGGAGAGGAGAATGAACCCGAAAGCCCCGATTTATTCAGTGGTCTGGAGGCCGCCTTGAATCAGCAAGGCGGGTCAAAGGAGGTTACGCCTGCTCCGGAAACGAAGACAGCCTGATTTCTTCCGGTATATTGTTCTTGAATAACCTCGATGGAACGTGTTATATTTGTACGTTCTGTTTCCTGGTTATACCTGCGAATAGTGTAAAGTAGCCTTGTATATCTAAAGAACTGGGTAAATATTTCCATGTCATACTATTATTTCTGATCTGATTTATGTTGTTTATACGTGCTGAATATTTTGTTATTCAAAGCTACCGAAACTTGGTAATAGGAAACTTATCTTGAACATGATAAATAATATGTAGGTATATGTATATTCCGTAGTGACTCTAGCTCAGCCGATGTCAGGGGTTGCACTTCCCCCGCACCGATTCTAATCCGGAGGTTGACCCCGATCCGTCCATTCCTGTTTGGTGCCAAGCGCCCGGTAGACACGCACATCTATTCAGCCGACAAACATCAATCATCGTATTTTAACACCACGTTAACCTCTTCATTATTTGCAAATTATCACCAGATAGTAAGATTGCATCTCTTTATTTTCAAGCAATTATACGTCATATGTTGGATGATAAGCCAGTCAATGTGTGATATAATTGTTGATATAATGCTCTTATAAGTTTTTGCTAGCTGGATAATCAATCCCTTAAATATGCTTGCTCACGTCTGAGAGCAGCGTACGCCCGAACGCCGTCGCATTGTAATGAATACCCTTTCCAAATCATCATCCGAGGTTCCGGTCGCCGAAACCATATGCATGCATCCTAATTTGCCCACCGTGAAACGTCTCCTTCCCACTCCGATATATATAGTAAGTTCCTGTTCTCAGATTCATACCGTAACCTCTGTCTGCTGCTCTCGCTCAAGGCTCTTGAGCGCCGCGGTAAGCCGCTCCTCTTCGGCTTTCCGTTGCATTTCCTGTAAGTATTGCGCGTATCGCGACTTCTTGTTGTGGATTCCACACTCAGACTTCTCCTGGCCCTTCCAGCGGCCCGCCCGCTCGTCTTCGCCGGCGGACACGGGAGATGTCGAGTGCCAATCGCCGACGGACTTGTATCCGCGATCTAGGAGAGGGTTGTATGGCACGTTGTTCTCCGTGATGTACTGCTTGACCTGGGCGAAGGTCCAGTCGACGAGCGGGTTGATCTTGACAATACCCGCCTCTTCATCAACCTCCAGCACGCCGATCTTGTCACGCTCGCCGCCTTGTGAACGTCGGCGGCCGGTCAGGACAGCAGCTACGTTCAGATCCGAATACGCGCGCTGTTGCGGCTCGACCTTAGCGATCCAGTCGTATAGTTCGGCGGCGGTCTCGTACAACTTCTCGCCATAACGCTCCTCGAACTCAGCAGTAGTGTTGGCGTCGTGGGGTTTAAAGGTATGGATCTTGATGTTGGGGTATCGATCCTTGACCTTTTGGACCAGGTCATATGTTTCCTGGAAATGGTACAGCGTGTCAAGGAAGATGAGGTCGACAGGCGAAGAGTCAGTTGATTCCTTCTCGATTTTGGACAGCATGTCTGTGGATACTAGGCCGGTGAGGCCGAAGGCTGTTGATTGGTATAGGTTGGGGAATAATATCTTGACGAAGCGAAGACGGTCCATGGAGTTCATCTTTTCTAGCTGTTGGTTGAGGTGTCTGACGTGTGGTGCGGTGAGCGTCACCTGGGGCAGCTCGCTCGTGGACTCTGCTGTCGACGACGACGACGCTGAGGCATATCCTGATTCTAGATCGGTTGTGGAGGCTAGGTCTTTGCATGAGTGGCGTGGGGAGGCCCGCTCGACATACGACGACGACCCCATCTTGAATTATATTATTATCAAGATTTATTTTGCCCAAGGGAGGTAGGTGTAAGTCAAGTAGGCAAAGGCTTGAAAGGTTTAGGAAGGCTGGCGGCTGGGACAAGACGAGAATACGAATTATACCGCTACGAGATACTGAGAAGACGTTTTGAGAGGTTGAAGGGTGATGAGAGAGTAATGATGGAAGAAGAGCAGAGGACCAGAGGAAGTATTAGAAGATATTACTATGGGGAAAAGCGCCAGAGGTGCTGTTCAAGTTATAAAAGGGGACAATGAAAAGAATCTATCCTGTAGACCGAGTCGGTTACTTACATAGTTAGGTAGATTTCTACTATAATTCCCGTAGTAACGTCTAGTCAAAACAGTTACTAAGTGTATTTGCGTATCATTTCTCTGTGTCTACATGACTAATCCGGTTCTCGGGATGTCTTTACTTATTGTTCGTGTGGGAAAAAGCTGTTGCATATGGAGCTGGGGGTATTGCGCGATCTGCTTAGATGAGATTTTACAGGCGACAGGCCGGAGCCCCAGGCTGCCAGGGCATCGAGGCGCCTTTAGAAATTTTAGACACTGATCACGACATCGGCGCTAGTGTAGTTGCGACAGCACAACCGACCTATTGACCTATTGATTGGCAGAATATTGGGTCCCCTCTTCTTCTTCTACGGGTGAGAAAAGCCGCGGGAGAATTACCGATACTTTTGACCCGGGTCGATTTGACTTCCATCTCTTTGTTGACTTTGATGTTATGCTCATATAAGCCAATGTCAGAACTGCTGTACTCTTGACTTTGAACTCTGAAATTCCAGTGCTGATCTAAGCTCCGAGCTGTGCCTTTTTCGACGTCACGACTGGGTTTCAAACTGGATCCATCCATGTAGTTTGGTGCCGTTGCTTTATCTTTGCCGGGGCGCTACGGAATGATGCCATCGACTTGACATGGATATTTACTTGGCTTTTGAAAATCGGTTGGCATTCAGCATGATTAGTTAGAATCCGGTGGGTTAATATTGAACAGAGTTTATTGCGTGCTCTCTGCCACAAGTCACTGCTATTAGTGCGGCCATGGAAGGTTTATATATTCGTAGTTATGAGGTTTGTACGTCAAGCACGTAATCACGGGTTTAGACGGTTCAAATGTTGTCTACTTATTCAGTAAGTAATATATATATCTGCATGGGTGCAGAGTTATTTGATATGGTTGAAATCTATCGTGGAATTCTTCTTCCTATTTTCTACATCCTTTTACGTGGTGCTCGGTTATATTAACATGTTATCCAACATCTGTATAATGTGACGGAGCTACAATCAGTGCGGGCCTATGCAAAGAAGAGTGCTGACAGAGTACTATATTGATCTCTTGAAGAGTAGCAGATGATATCGATCGATGTGCTTGTCATTAGCATACATAAGATCTACATAATTATTACTGGAGTCTCCCAATTGATCCGGTCGTTTTACTCTTTACCGCCCCTAACGCCTTACAAAGCAAGTGCTCGAACAAGGGAATGTCACCATCCTTAGGGGATATGGCGAATTGTTAGCGGTTGTCGGAAGGTTGAAAGAAATTGTGAAGCTACGAGAAAAAGAAAGTTGAAGAAATCGGGTCTCGGTATGATGTTGTAATGTTGCAATGGTTAAAAGAGCCGCTTGAACGGGTCATCGGGGCCGATAGCCGTACCAAGAATTGCAGCTTCTCCTTTAAAATGCCGGAGATCATTTATATTTACGGACTAGGCAGGTACCTTCTCAGTGTACCTACTATGTTTAGCTGCACACATGTCTACGTAAATGTGGTGACGAGAGGCGAGATTGCATCTAGACCCTGAGAGATCTGGGGAATAAGGGGTGCTTACATATATATATGGTATGGCTGGATTTATATATTAATATACCGCATACGCGATCCCCTCCATATTTGTATGTTCTTTTTGTCCGACTTTTTAGTAAAAGATTTGTTGGATGCTTACCTTTAGGTGCCTATGTAGGTACCTACCTACCTTGTAAATATCTGAAGCGCTACACAACGGCTCTAAGACAACTTGGGTATAAGTAATCTGGGGTAATGAGCGCATATACCACTTACATAAAATAGCATCATCGTATTTAACTTTACGGTAGTTCCTCAGTTAGCTGACTCAGCACTTGCGAAGTGGCAGTTAAAACCATATGTACTTTACCATCTCACGGAGCGCGCCGAAGTACTTTCACCTTTTCTTCACCTTAACTGACCAATGATATAATTCATACAGACCCAGCCATCAGGAACGGGTCAAGCACACGCGCCTTACGCTAAGCTAAAGCCCAGGTGAGGAAAAAAATACCCCGCGCAATTTATGAACTTCATTCCTTGCGAAATATAGAGCCTCAAAACGTTGGGTATCATTTCCCTACTCGCCTAAGAATTACTCATAGAGAACCTTATACTCAATCCCTCAAGTGCAAGTTCATTTCTTATACAATAAAGTGCCTCATTTATTAGTGATCCTATATCCCCTCCCTTTTATAAATCCATCATGGCCGCCGACGATAGCCCCACGAAGCAAAACTCGGGTCGGCCGCAGTTATCTTCTATGAGGACTAGTTCATATCTCAAAGAGCATCAGCAGTACCGTCCTCCTAAGCATCTGGATAGTCATTTCGGTATAGACACCGTCGTCGAAGATCTGCAAAACCATAGAATTTCTCCTCCCAAATCATTCAGTCCCTTTAATGGTGTGCCCTCCAAGGATGAACCCCCGCGTATCGTTGAAGGCGCTAGCCACGACTTCACTCATCCAAACTGTGCTCCGCCTAGGGGCACCAAAATAGATCGACTTGTCGCCACTTTGATCTATAAGTCTACGTCGTCACGTACTGCGGTCCCTTCTCCGAGACTTGCTTCGTCCAGCTCCGACATTCCCACAAACCTCGCACCAACTACCAATATTGAGTCATTTCCCCTGGAACCTCCGGACGCCGCTGAACCTGAGCCTCTCGATCACCTTTATGGCTCCTACATATCCCCAATATGCATCACATCTTTTCTCCATTTGATGTCCACCTTTCCCCTACCTCAGGGGGTTAGCGAGGCTACGTCGTCTCATCGTTGTCTCGACGATCGGGAGCACCCCCTCGTCGTCGAGTTGACTTTGTCCCCGGCCCCGTGCCCCAACTATCTCTCCTTATCAGACCTGCGGAGGCACGAGCTTATCTACCGATTCGAGAGGGAATGGAACGTTGATGTCGTATTGCAACATGACACACTTTGGCGACGATATCCGCGTCTGGTCGTTTTCGACATGGACAGCACTTTGATCACGCAGGAGGTCATTGACCTACTCGCCACGGCCATTACAGATCCTCCGGATCTGGCCGCTAAAGTTGCCGATATCACAAGCCGGGCCATGCATGGGGAGTTGGAATTTGACGCCGCGTTCCGAGAACGAGTTGCTCTGCTCAAGGGGCTTCCAGCCACGATATTCGAGCAGTTGCGTCCAGTGCTAAACGTTACCAAGGGAGTCCCCGAATTGCTGAGATCATTCAAGAGATTAGGCGTCAAGACTGCTGTGTTGTCTGGCGGCTTCATCCCGTTGACTAGTTGGCTGGCTGGCGAGCTTGGAATTGACTATGCATATGCGAATGAGGTTGTAATCGATGACTCTGGGCGTTTGACTGGCGAAGTCCAGGGACGCATCGTAGGTAGAGAACGGAAACAGGAACTCCTCCTCGAGATTGCTAAGAAGGAAGGAGTTGCACTTGAGCAAGTAGTAGCAGTTGGCGATGGTGCTAATGACTTGCTGATGCTCGACACGGCTGGCCTGGGTGTGGCATGGAACGCAAAGCCGAGGGTTCAGCTGGAGGCTAATGCTCGCCTCAACAGCGAGAGCTTAGTCGATTTGCTATACATATTTGGACTCACGAGCCAAGAGGTGGATTTGCTAACCGCGTAACCCTATAAGATAGGTACGTCTGCTATATGACTACTCTTTTACTTCGTATACATATATAGATTTGGCCTGGCCTGGTCTGATGCCACCTAAAATGCCTGGAAAATGGGAAAGAGGGCTAGGGGACCATTCCATTCCCACGACTTTATCACGATGGAGAGATGACCAGAAAATTATCGGTTCGGATATCCAACGGCCTTTGAACGGGAATAAGTTTTATCGTTTGTAGGAGTGATGTAGGTCTACTATTATCACATTCGTTGATTCCTAAGTCTAGTTGCTAGAGAATGCCGTATGTAAATGACCTAGACTAAGCTGGTAGTCAAGTACACATAACGAAACAGACATATCGAATTTAACTAGGTAGTTATACGTAAACAAATAGAATCTTGGAGTTGGCTCTTCAGTTCAATAGACGGACTAGTGACTTTGGTGATAAATAATAATAGGTGTCCTAATGCTTGACCAAAGGTTATGTACAGTCAAACTAGAAATGACGCATCCTCTTATAGCTCTAATAATCGGAGAGGCGATCCAATGTCTTCCTGAAGAACATATCTAGTAGCCGTCCTTACCCCATTTATTGTACTTGTCGTGAAGGGACTGCATTCACTCAGTTAGCACGAATCGCCCAAGGTGTTACAAGGTTAGATAGACCGATTTGCGCATACCTTTGGCAGGTTGACGTCGGGGATGACGACGACGTTGACGGCGCTGGGGGCGTCCCTCGGGGCGGCAGACGGGTCACCGCCGGGGTGGTATCGGTACTTGCCTTCCGTTGCGCCGGTTTCCCAGGGCATGCCCGACTTGGCTAGGCCGACGGGCGCCTCGGATGTGGATTGGGTAGGAGAGCGACCTGGAGCAGCGTGTTAGATTTTCGATACGCGGTAGACGGGGAGAGGAGAAGTAGAGAAGCGCGTACCGAAGTAGAGACCAGCACCACCTAGAGCTAGAACCATGACACCTCCCAGAATCTGTTAACAGCAGAGCCAAGTCAGCACCTATCTAGAGAGATATAGGCATATATAACCGCGTCGTCTTCAATGTAGTAGATATGCACAACTCTATATATGTATGTATGTACGCATGTATGCATGCATCTACTACAAAGCCGCGGCGTTAGATCTCCGGGTATGACGCACCATGAGTTCGGGGTTGCGCTTCGTCTCTTCCTTGAGGGCCGGGTCGGCAGCGAAGCGACGCGCTGTAGTAGAGAATGCCCGTTGGGAGAGGGCTCTTCGGGCGATGATAGAGGCCATGGCTAATGGTATTTTCGACGATATCGCAGTGGTATATCGCAGTGGTAGTTTTTGGGTTTGGGGTGTTGAGTTTAGGACGGGTTTACGGATGAGAGAAGCTTCGAGGTCGTACGATGTAATAGTTCTTCAAAATTGACCAATGAGGAGCGGCTTTGATGGTCTTGGTTTTATACCTCACTTTTGAGGCACTAATATGTTTTTGTGTGTACCTACCTTTGTACAGACATATATATCACTCAGCTATGCATATAAGCAGTATGTAGCATCTTGCGTCATAGCGATATAGCTTTAATAACTCCTTGTAGCTTAAGTAAGTACCTTACTTAGGCGAGGGCTACTATCTATGTAGTAAGCATCAGCCCCCTAATCGTTTTAATTAGTGCATGACAGGTACTTTCATGCATTATAATTTATAATTAGGTATAATTTGCATATGCTATGTATACATATTCGCACATGCGCAATCTTCGCTAACTTTATGCATGACTGGGCTCCCCTTTAGAATTCGTCTTTCAAATACAATCTCATACTACATCATCTATCTCGCGACGACTGCGAACTTTACGCGGCCCCCCTCCAATTCGACCCGACCCGATTGTCCTTCCTTTTTTTCTTTTTCGATTACCTTCGCTACATCATCATATTCTAGTCATCCGACAGCTTCGCGACGCCTGCTGTGCAGATACAGCCGACCTCCGGAGAAAGGGATATTAACTTGACACTCTCTTCATTTTCTTTTGATTTCTCTTCTTCTTTTGAGCAGACCAACCATCATTTTCTTTGCTCAAACGCTATTACCCAACTTCTTTTATTCCTCTCTCTTGGCGAGCCGACCGAATTCAAAGTATTTATTATTGTTTGTGGGGTATGATTTTGTAATTGAGAACATATTCCAATTACTCCTAGTCATCGTTTTTACTTGACTAGGACACGGACCTCTTGGGAGACTTGGACAATTTCGACTGTTTGTTTGGGAATTATGTTATAAGGACTTGTCTCATGGAAGCCGAATACCGTGGAATACTATTCAAGCTAGACGAATCGCCTTAAACATGGCTTCAAATCAACCATCCGCGCAACCTACTTCGCCCTCGGACGATACGGACAGCTTCCCTAGCCCGCAGTTCCCCGCCGGCCCTCCGAGTATCATATCGTCGCGAATGACCGACATTGCTTCCGAAGATGGCGACGGAGTTGCTCGAGAGCAAACAAGGACAACTGCTGGTCAGAGAAGGAGTTTCCGCGCTTCCGACTCCCGCCCTGGTACTGCGAGGACTGGTTTATCCTCGTCACGCGGCGCTTGGTCGCAAGCGACTCCGCTGAGGAAGGGAATGCAGAGAGGAAGTAGTATAAGTGGCAGCATCAAAAGTGGCCGCCCAATTAGCTCTACAAGCCGAACCCACGTACCTTTGGCTTCCCATGCCTTCTTTCATCCCATGAGTTCTCAGAAGCTCCAAGCTCAGAGAGGCGCGCAACGAGCTAGCAGTGGCATACAGCATCGGCTGAGCGTCGAATATGTACAGGATGATAATGAGTCTCATATCGCACCTCAGGATGTTACTACATCGAGACCTGCACCCCTTCTAGTCCGTCATATGACAGATGACGGGGACGCGCAACTGCCTCCCTCTAGGGGTACTGAGATTACAGAGCCGTATGATGGTATTACCGCTACTACAAGTCCGACCCGCGGCCACCACCCCACAGGCAGTCTTAGCGAGAGTATGCGCCCCTTGCAGAGGAAGGCTGAGGAGAAGGGCCTTAATCTGGACCTCGGCAAGACCAAGACTTACAGAGATCACGAAAATCTACCTAGCCCTGTTAGATCACCACGATCTTTCAGATCAGGACTTTTCCTACAGACGAAAGGCGAGTCTGCGGCCACTCCCGCAAATCGTAATACGCATGGCGCAGAGAAGTTGTCTTCTGGCGCATCTTCTCCTCGGTTTACCCCTGCTACTGCTAATATGCCGGCTACAAAAGTTAAGGCAGCCAAGGAGAAGATACAAGGCCATGGTTATAATCATGAGTATTTTGAGGGTAACACTGTATTCTGCATCGGAGGCCGTCTGCAAAATACGCGCCATCGGCCTATCAACATCGGGACTGGCCTCCTTGTTGTCTTACCAGCTGTTCTCTTTTTCGCATTCTCTGCGTCCTACTTGTGGCATCATGTTTCGCCTGCTGTGCCCATCATTTTTGCCTACTTGTTCTATATCTGTATCTCGTCTTTCCTTCGCGCGTCAGGCTCAGATCCGGGAGTAAGTAGATACCTACAGCAAAGAACTTCTCTCTACGGCAACTAACGAGTGAACCTAGATCCTACCCCGGAACATCCACCAATTCCCCCCGGCGGATGAACATGAGGACCCTCTGCGTTTGGCACCCCCGACTAACGACTGGACTCTGATTAAATCAGCCGAGTCGAGTACCGCAGCAATGGAAGTACCGACAAAATACTGCAAAACTTGCAATATTTGGCGCCCTCCTCGGGCTCATCATTGTCGCTTGTGCGATAACTGTGTTGAGACCCAAGACCATCATTGTGTCTGGATCAACAACTGTGTTGGAAGACGCAACTACAGATATTTCTTCACTTTTATAGCTTCTGGTACTCTTCTGGCAATTTACTTGGTTGGCGCGTCGCTCGCTCAAGTATTAGTGTTTTCGAATGAGGAGAATGTGTCCTTTGGAGCAGCAGTCAGCCACTTCCGAGTTCCGTTCGCTATGGTTATCTATGGATTTATATGCCTCCTGTACCCCGCGGCTTTGATGGGCTATCACCTCTTCCTTATGGCTAGAGGAGAAACAACTAGAGAGTTCCTCAATTCGCAGAAGTTCTTGAAGAAAGAGCGGTATAGGGCGTTCGCTCAGGGTAGCATATGGAAGAACTGGGTTGTGGTGTTGTGTCGTCCACGACCGCCAACCTACTACCGTTTTAAGCATCGATTCGAGGAAGGAGACCAACGGTTTGGGGTGCGCCGGAATCAACACGGGAGCAATCCTTCTCAAGGTGGAGAGGATATGGAAATGCAAGCTGTGCGACCACCTTCTGCGGGCTTTCAAGGGCCAACTGCGCTGCGCAACCTTACAGCCAGTACGCGATGAAAAAAATCAAGCATATCCGTCTCCTTCTACTTGGCTAGTGACCGGTTGTCTTACCGCTCGTTACTAGGCACATATTTTATGTAATGTCTTCTAGCACGAATACCCCTTCAATCGACTTGCTTTTTTTCTGTACTACTATGATAATTGGAATTAAGGGAAACGTGTGAAATTATTAAGTGTTCCTTCGTAAGGCCTCGGTAAAAGATAGGACCTAATATGTACGAGGTTAAAGGGTGATAGGGGTAAGGACGGGGTTGTCTGAATGATGTTATGAAAGAAGGCATTTGGCTGTGTCATGTTCATGTTGAAAATACGATTCTTTAAAGTGTACTTTTAATACCTATTCTCTTTATTTATACTTACCTCCTTTTTAGACGTGGAATACATAGTTCCATAGGAGTTTAATATCACGTGATGACCAATACCTGTGATACAATGCCACTCTGCCCACTTTGCCCACTTTGCCCACTCTCAGCCGTAACCTGATCAGGAAGTTGGACTTATACTAACACGATTAGCTGATGGTCTCGTGAATAAATTTTGTAGTTAATCTCTTTCTGCTGAGTTTGTTGCATTCTGTCTCTGTCAAACCAATTTTTTTTTTCGAAAAAACCTATTGGTTCGTTGCTCATTCTTTATGTCAATGTTAGAACTAACTAGTTATAGGTTCAGATTTGGTCGACTGCTTTCTTTTAGATATACTGATTGTTTAGATTTGCCCTCTCTATTGCGCGTCCCTTATATTCCCCGACGATGGGTCAACCGTCGTTCGAGGCATCTAATGCCGTTATATACGTTACTTATGGCGCATTTCTGTATGCTTATACTGATGGACTAGAGATACTTATAACTAAACTAACTAATCATGGAATCATAGGCTATTGGGAACAGGTCTGGCCTGGAAAATGAGAAACCAGTCCAAGGCTGAGTTCCTCTCTGGAAATAGGACTCAAACTGGTCAGAATCCAAATGGGAGCTAGATGAGCCGACATTCTGTCCTATCTTACTGCTCTCATATTCCCCATCGTCTCTTCCTTGTAAGATTCGTACTGACACCCCTCATAGCCTTTCCTTTGGCGCTCAATTTCATTGCTGCTGGTAAGTAGGGAATTGTCATGGCGCTTAGGCGAATCGACCCCTCCCCGTCTAGGGATCACGAGCGGTAGCACCTGTGCAACGATCAACCGGAGCAGCATACAAAGACGACGCCCGACGATCTTGGCGTTTTGATGTTCTACTACAAGATATAGAGTAAGGCTTGTGTAATAGACAAGTAGGTTTATGCCATATCCAACAATTATCCTCCCTCTTCCACAATCCTATTCCCTGGGATCTGTGTTAGAGGACAGGTAAATTGCGGCTCACTACGGGCGCCGAATTGAAGCAGTCCTCCTCGGATAGGATCTAACCCCGCAACTCCTGTTTCCGTTTATGACCAGGTGTTTGCGGGGAGATCCCCGGGAGTCTGCGGATATGAAGCTGAGATTGTACCGTAATACTCGATCAAGTTAATGCTTGCGTGGGAAACGTGCTGCCGCTCCGGTCACCCTATCCCCCTTTAAATATGCTAAATATACTGACCCTCCTTACCATTTTCTTAGCCATGGGTTCGGGAATCCTGTTCTCGTACCCGCAGCTTGCTACTCTAGCCGGCCTCCAGGGTGTCCTGGTCTATGCCATCTCGTCGGCTGTCCCGCTGCTGATCTTCGCGGCACTCGCGCCGATTATCCGTAGGAAGTGTCCGGAGGGATTTGTCCTGACGGAGTGGACGAGGCAGCGGTATGGCGTTGTGACGGCGCTTTATTTGGGCGCTTTGACGCTGCTTACGCTGTTTTTGTATATGGTTGCAGAGCTGTCTGCTATCGGGCAGGTCATCGAGGCTTTGACTGGGCTGAATGGATTGCCTGTTGTTATTGTTGAATGTGTCGTGACTACTATTTATACTTGTAAGCTATCCATTCATCTGCCATAAACAGCTAGTTACTCGTATCGATGTATATACTGACAACTATATCCTAGCCCTCGGAGGTTTCAAGATCTCCTTCATCACGGACAACGTCCAAGGCGCCATGATCTGCGCCCTGATCATCATAGCCACGATCACTATCGGCGTCAAAACTGATATTAAGCCAGAGTTAATCGCTGAGTCTGGCCTACTTAACGCGAGTCTCGTAGGCTGGCAGTTGATTTACATTCTACCCGTCGCCATCCTGACTAACGACTTCTTCCTGGCGAACTACTGGCTACGTGCTTTCGCCTCTAAGACCGATAGGGACCTCTGGATAGGCGTATCGGTAGCTATGGTCGTTATTCTGATCGTCTTAACGCTAGTCGGATGTACTGGCTTAATTGCTGTGTGGTCAGGTGCATTTGAGGCTGGCGGCGATGGATCCGTGGCTTTCTTCCTGCTGCTGGAGCAGCTACCCAACTGGGTCGTGGGTATCGTCATCGTCATGTCGGTGTGCTTGAGTACTGCGGCATTTGATAGCTTACAGTCTGCCATGGTGTCCTCTGCTTCTAACGATATCTTCCGCAACCGTCTGAACATCTGGTGGATTCGAGGCGCGGTCGTGCTGATTATTTTCCCGGTGGTAGTGCTTGCGCTAAAGGCACCAAGTATTCTACAGATCTACTTAATTTCTGACCTCCTATCCGCCGCTACCATTCCGGTACTTATACTCGGGCTATCAGAGCGTTTCTACTGGTGGCGAGGTTTTGAGGTATTAGTCGGCGGTCTTGGAGGAATACTAACGGTCTTTATCTTCGGTACTATATACTACGGTGATGCGAAGTTGGGTGGTGAGCTCATTCTTCTAGAGCAAGGACTATATACCGGGGACTGGGGTGCGTTTGGAGCCTTCGTTGCTGCGCCGGTCGGTGGTTTGCTCTGGGGATTCGGTGCGCTGGGAGTAAGACTGGGTGTCCAATACGTGCTATCTAGGGTACGAGGTACTCGATTTGATGCACTTGACTACCCTACCATAGTGCCTCAGGAGGATTCCGACGCATTGGCAGGGTCAAGTGAAGATACTACGACTACCAAGATCACTGGCAAGTTTTTCTAGGCTGGGTTCTACTGCAATATGAAATATGACGAAGTATTACTTTTGCGCGGTGTTCGATATAAGATAGGAGGATTTAGAATCAAGAGCATATAATAGGTAGACTATCGTTTTGGTGGATGATGCCAACCTTTGATTTTTATTTCCCCAAGAGCTGCTTTATGTTGAAATAAAATCGGCATCTAAATTATACTATGTTATCATGATATGCTTTAATATATGGATAATGCGAGTCTAAAGTGACGTTAACTATTTTGGAGTTCGATTTATACAGGTCTTATGCGTACAAATCAGGTATACTATACATATTTTTACTATTTCTTTTCTCTTTTACTATCCTGTCATTATTTATTTCCCAGCCTCGTCCGCCATAACAGCATCAAGGTTCTCTATCTCCGCTATGTACTCCTCATATGTCATCTCAGGTAGTGTACCCCAGATCTTCCAAGGCTCAGCCTCGAAAGTGTTCTTATCCATACTAGCCTGGAGGACAATGTGCTCCGTGATCTTGCGCACGCGCTCGCTGCCAGCGACTTTAATACCGCCCTTAGTGTCGTCGTACCGTGCGATGCGCTGGACACTAGAGATGGTAACCACGATCTGCTTTAGCGTCTTCATGTCACCGTTAGGTAGGGGCTGATATCCGACGCGCCAGTCGGCGACACGGGGGTACAGCCAGGTATTGCTATAGCGCACGAGCTGCCACTCAGCGCGGATTCCGCGCGGGCGGGCATCGATAGTAGCAGCCAGGGTCTGAAACAGCTCGGGCGTGCAGATACTGCGCAGAGTCTCCTTGTCGCCGACGGCCATAGCTTCAGACATTTGGATGTGTAGGGCTTTGGCCGTGGGGATAGCGGCTGCTCGGTGGAATTTAAACAGCGGTTTGCTGATGAGAACCGTCGGCTGCGACATGACTTTCATTGATATTACGGCCCAGAGTGTCCCGTAGCGAGCCTTGATATGTAGCCATAGCATGTGGAAGAACTTCTTAGGCTGGCGCGGGTATCGCCAGAGAGGAGGGGCCACGAGGGTCTCTGTAGGCGCAGAGTGAATATTTATGTACGTTTATAATGTAATTCATATATGATTGGTAGAACTAACGGGGTATTAACATTGTCATATTGGGTTCCATCTGCTGAACATCGCTCTTCTTAATCGACTTCATCGACCTCGGTCTTGTAGGTCCTCTCCTCGCAGCATATGGACGCGAGGGAGTTGTGCTTATACGGCGGTAAAGGCCGCATACAATAGGAGATGGCGCTCGTGAACGTATGGAGGAGAGCAGCCAGGGTCGCGACTGGCGCAGAAGTTCGGCCATGATGTCGAGGGTGTTCTGAAGAGGTAGATGAAGTGGATAGAAGCCCGAGGGGGGAGGGGAGGGGGGGTTGAGTTGTTAATGAGGAGCTTTCAATAGGCTCTCGACTCACAAGTCAAGTTCACCTTGACGACATTGGATGTTATAGAGCGGTGGAAGTTAAGGAATTACAAAGTTGTTAGTCTTCTTTCGATAGTGATGAGAAATATTGAAATATCGAAATATCGAAGCGATATCCCGTTCAATGAAAAATTTAGGTGGGGCAGAGTTCTAGAAGAGAAGCTCACAAGGCTATGCTAGGTACCTAACCAATAGCAGGGCACCTATGTACCTAATGCTACTGGGTATGCTAAGGTTTAAAGCGTGGGGCAGTATGATCTCCTTCCTATCAAAGCTAAAACACCCTATTAGATTTGGTTCCGTAGGTGACATACGGATTACTTCCCTATTTATTTAAGTTGACAGGGGACTGCAGGGTACTTGTTGCTCAGAGTTTAGGCAGTGTTACGTAGTAATATGACCTCACAGGCCACATTGCCCAATGTTTCTACCTTTTCTACCTTTCTACTATTACTACGTACTATAATCCTACCTACCACATACAACAAAATACGCCTATATTTATTTATTACATATGTACCTAGGACGTATCCCCCCCAAAAAACATCGAACGCATTGTGCGACTTTCAATACCTAATTTCTAAACGGCCTTTGTCCCCCCCCGTGTGTCTCGTGCTTAACCGCCATCACATTACCATTACCTTACCATCAACACTTTCCTATGGCCCAACTCGAATCGACTACGTACAACTCGATAATACATAGGAAATCAAATTGGGGGTTGGGCACAGGTAGTTAGTTAATATATAAACATATATCTTAGACCATCTTAGGTACTTTAAGCCATCTGCGGGAAGGCCCCTTGAATGGCCAACCCAAGGCTTAGGACTCCCTCCTCCAGCACACATGCTACCGATGCTACCGATATACCTCCCGTCCCCGTCGTAGCTGTTTCCCTTCTGCAGCCCCGCGTCGCCGTCGCCCTCGGTATACCTAAGCGTTGGCATCATACTCTCTCCGCTTGTCGTCTACTCTCTATCATTCCTCCTATACTCTGGGGCCTTCGATACGCCTTGCGTTTTCTGCTTGCCGATCTGTTACGCTTGTCCGAGCAAGACCATGGTCATAATGTTAGTCTTTCCTCCTTGAGGTTGACCGAAACGGCATTGGCTGTCATATGGGTATGTTGCTTCTGCTAGCTACGAACTTGTTTTATGTTCCTGTTACGTCCGTTTCTGTTCGTACTGACTCGGTCAACAGTGCTACGCCTCTGCATATCTCGCCTTCTTTTTTACCGACTGCCTTATGTCACGCTGGCTCATCAACTACACGCCCCAAGCGACAGTTGTGCGCCTCTTCACTATTAGTTGCGCCTTTGCTTACCTGACCTCGTGGATCGTATACCTAGCTGGTGGTTCTCAAGATCCTGGTCTGCTGCTGCCAGCCTGGATCGGGATAGCCACCATCTTAACCCTCTGCTACCACTTCACTCAGCGCAAGATTAAGATACGGAAGGAAACCTTTGCTAGTATCAGCGTCTTTTCTATAGCAAGCTTCATCAGCATGGTTGCCTTACTATTACATTCCCATACGACCAGAGCTGGATATCAGAACGTCCCGATAGTTGCCATAACCAAGCGAGCTTGTCAAATCGGAGCATACATCATTTTCCGCATTGTAGGTCTCACTGGGGATTTGGACGGTTTATGATATAAGAGATCGACTTCGTAGTGTTTCGTACACGTTGTTGCAGCTTAATGCCGGCGAGAGATGGTAACTGAGCTACACTTCTATTAGCTTATCAGGATGCATAAATGTGTCCAGCCTAGTCACCGACTTTAGATATGGGATGCTTCGAGAAGTTTGATGTTTTTACTTCAAAAGAAGCGATTTTGAGTACGGTAAAGTGTACTCTAGGATAAATGACGAATATATTTCAACCTTGGGCAGATTAACTGTAGTTCTTCTCCTGGCTGTCTGCAGCTGCATTCGGGTGATACTTAATCTTGCGTATATATTGCCCTTGGCTATGCTGGTCTTGTTTGTTTCCAAGCGCAAACCAGATCTATGCATTAAGATCATCCTCTTCAATAATATATGTTTAATGAAGTTATCTGCACTATTTAAAATCACCAGCATAAGGTCTTGGGAGAATGAGATGTTTCGATTCTGAAAAGTTCTAGGAATGCCCACTGAATTTAGTCTACTTTGATGCTTCTCGAGAGGTTACTAAACTACTACTCTACATTACTTAGTACAACCATTGGACATATTGTAAGGCTGATTAGTGTGTTATTTATAGTTTACCCCTTTTTCTTTTGGGGATTAAGGAAGGGATTTGATAATGACTAAGAGTGAAGTGGGTTAGGATAAAAACCAAATAACATTGGAAATTGTTCTGCTAATACTAGTTGCGCATATGCAGTCGAGTATAATCAGTTTAACTCCGTCTTTGTTAATACCAAGTACAATCCCAACGAGCCGTTGTATGAGCGTATATGAGATATGAAAATAAAAATATAAACACTAACATCTTCGGTAGGATGAGTCATGTAAAAGGGAGAAAGATATAGAATAAAAGGGTAGTATTATCTATAAAATTGCTAGTTATCTCGTTCTGGTGTGCTACATCTATATATATTTTACGGTCTCTATTAAGTACTCTATCAAGCTTCCAAACCGAGAGAGGGCCGAAACCGGTGACTTGTGCAACAGCTGGCTCAGTATAATCTTGGCAGATATCAACGTCGGACACTGTCTAGGAGGGGCTGCTCTGGAGATATAAACTTGAATAACACCTATCATCCTCGTCTGTCCTACGATCTATTAGAATATGGCAACAATCCGACCCCGAACCGATCACGATATTCCAGCATGTCTTCAAGTGCTTAATGTCGTCTATAAAGATAGCGGGTATCCCGTACAGGGAGTTGGTGATTCGGCACAGTTCTTCAACAAATATGAGACTACTTGGGTTGCCGAGATTGACGGGACTGTCGTGGGACATATCGCCCTCGCAGAAGGTGCCGCAGGGAACGTTGCAGTGGACTTGTGGCAGAATCAACATCCTGAAGATATCCACGTTGCAGTTATCGGAAGACTTTTCGTTCACCCTGATTATCGTAAGGGCGGCACAGCCAGCAAGCTCATTAGCACCGCTGTAGAGGAAGCACGGGGGAGGGGACAGCGGCTGCTTATGTTTGCTTTGATCAAAGATCAGAATGCTATTCGCTTGTATCGGAAGCTGGGCTGGCAGTATTTCGGCAACACTGTGTATAGATGGGAGGAGGGTAATGAGATGGACGCGGAGTGCTTTGCAAGCCCAATGGCGTGAAGCTCCAGGGTTGGTTGCTATGCTCGGGAATAGTATCGTAGTATGTTAGTTATAGGGAATAGGGGGATGTTCTTCGGGATGAACATATCAAACTGTCACATCATTTTCTAACCATGGGCGTTTATTATTATCGTATATTATTATCGTACTTGTCTACCGATGGTCCTCCATAGGAAGCAAGATGTTTCCTAGATGTACATTGTAAGCTGGCCAGCTCGTCCAAATACAACTTGGTACTATCTCTCACCCCATGTCCCAATCTAAGGTAAATATTAATCTAAGGTATATAGGTATGTATTCAAATTAGATCATCTTGCTGTTGCTACTCTTTCCTCTTGTACTTAGATACCTATACCTCATATATGTACCAGGCTCTAATGGCAGGTAAAGACATGTAGATACCTACATAGGTAGGTATACATATTCAAACAATATTGTGCACGGACTAATTTGGGCGGTGTGATAAATACACTTTATGATTACAACCGCTTGTTACTTCGCTCTTGCTTATTTGACTCTTGATTGTTCGGCTCCTGCTTACTCAACTTTAATTATTCGGTTCTTGTTATTCAATTATTGATAACAGAGAAGCTCCGACCAGAAGCTCCGACCACCAAAAGCTTCGACCATCACAGGGACGTGACTTACTCTTTACTCTTTGTGTTATCGTAGTCCCTTCTTGCTTCTTGACTAGCAACCCTAAGGTTCCTACAACTGCAGGAGCGCCCTCAATTCTTTTTATTTATTTAAGCAGCCCGGTTCCTTCAAAGTTGCCTCTCAATATACCTACTCTTCATCCTAACTTCTAACAATCCACAACCCTTTCAATCTCCAAATAAACATAAATAAACCTATCCTCTTCTACATTAGCCTATCCTCTTCTAAATCAACCTATCCTCTTCTTACCCACCTTAAGGGAAAGCACCCAATACCTAGTGGAAACCCTTCAGCCGCTTGCGACACCTTCACCATGCTGTCGCTGTCGCTGTCGCTGTCGCGTCGCATCTATGATAAACTCCTATACACCTTGAAGTTTACCTATAATAGTAAGTTTAATACAATCTATTCCTTTAAGCCATCACTAATTTTCACTAGCTCCCTAACTCATCACTCTTATTCTACCACACGAAACTCCTTCCATAATAATTGTCTACCCTCATCAATACTTATTACTCTATTAATGTCATATACCTTAGTAGGTCTCTTTCCCGGCTTCTTTAATTTCTATCCTATTTTTTTATTTTTTTTTGACTAGTTCCTATTGCTGCTTGGTCTGTATGTCCCTTCTAACATCAGACACTTCTTACCCACCTATTTCCATTACTTAGTCCTTTCCAATATTGCTCACCAACAACACGATTACTATTATTTTATTTTATTTTTGCTATGCTTACTAATGTCCTCATTCTAGACAGCATGCCCATAAAGCGATACTAGGTTTTCAGCAACAATATCAATCTCAGTGGCTTCTCTAATATATTCGCCTCTAAAGGCATCCACATGGGTAAGTAGAGGGGTCACTTTATAGAATGCCTATAAAGTATTTATTGCTAACATTTAGGTCCTAGGGTTCTCCAAAATGGGGAAATTTCCAACGGCAGTGCCAAGTATGGTGGCGTCAATTGGCATATACACTCTGATTATGATCACACACCCCTTCTGGTTCCAATGGAGGTTCCAAGTAAGTTCTTTTATAATATAGTAGCACATGATAGCCCTGTTCTTATCTTCATACTTTGACGTTCGTGCCTTCTACCACTATTTCGTGTGTCTACAGTCGTTATTCATCAATTGGGATAGTGATAGCATACATATTTCCTAGAATTATCACTGACTTTTACTCTTCTTTCAACATCTAGGCACTGAACTACACGCCATATATTATGCTATTGGAATCGGTTATTTCTAACCGACGAAAAATCCCTCCATGCCATGCCAAGGTATTTCAACCAACTTAGCATTGCAGTATCTATAAGAGATACAATACCCCCCTTGGAGGCTATCGATATTATTAAATGGCAACACAACGCGACTGTCTAGATAGCCCCTAGGACTTCAATTTCACGGAACTAAAGTGACCTTTGAAGAAGACATAGAAGGCCTATATACACCTCATTCCATGGCCGTGGATGCCGACGCCAACGCTAACCGCGGCATGGGAGCGGGGAGTCGGAGCCGATAAGAAGCATGCATCAGGCTAGAAGGTTTGAAGGAAAGGTGGCCGGCCATAATCAGGTCAGCGAACATTCATCCGCCATCATGGCAAGACAGAGCTTCACAATTCAACTAATACGCCTATTATTACCACATTATCACCTTTAATCGCCAAATTAATCACTAACCAACTCAACATATAAAATTAATTCCTGCCAAAAAAGGTGCATTACTATGAAAAGAGAAGTAAGGAAAAAGCTATCGAAAGTACAAGCAACACAACTAGCATATTAGCCACTGATTCTGATTCGATCATGATGATGATGGCCGCGTGAAAATGGAAAATGAACTAAAGTACATAAGGCAAAAGGACAAAAGGACAAGTATGGCCAACTGGCCCATGCTAGATAGACTTAATCTATCCTAGTCCATGTCATGAAACGAATCAGAGAAAAAAGATGTTGAAAAGGGGGAAAGAAGAAGAGACCGGAGACAAGGTTGTGGGATATTCTCAGTTGATGGCTGGTGAAGCGCCACCTGAGTCCCTATTAACAACTCAATTGTCTAATGTCCTAATGTCGATGAGTATCAAAGCAAAAAGACTGCAATAACTTCAGTTTATGTCCTGAGTTACCACAAAAGCAAGAATGCAAAGCTTTCAGATCTTCGAAGTTTCTTTGTGCACAGTGCCCGGAATACATGGTTGAGTTGGCAACGTGACATGTTCAAGAGTTCTCGGATCGTGTTCGGGTGACACCAAGTCGTTGCACAGTTCCAGAGCTGTGCTTGGTGGGAGTGGCCGCATCCTCGCCACCATCGTCATTGTGATCAGCACCAGGGGCACCCTGGACAATTCCCATAGGAGAGGGAGAGTATCCACCGCCATAATACATGGCTGCGAAGTTGGGGTCCTGGAGATAGGGGGTCATCCAAGAATAAGGTGTATTATAGTACGGAGCCAAAGGGCTTAGCATTCCCGGAGTGGCTTGCGGTGTCGCGGGAAAGGTCTCGGTGCTAGCCGGAGGGTTCACCCGGTACGAAGGTCCGCCATAAGATGACGGGGTTGAATAGTTCTGGTCAGCGACGGGCGCCATGCCATAGGCGTTGCCTTGAGTTACCTGAGAAGAAGGCGTAGAAGAGAGTACGGAGGTATCTACCACAGCAATGTGCGACGGAGTCGCGGGTTCGGAGGGCAGATTAGCCATGGACTGCTTCTGGCCCTCAATGTGCTCGCTACGAACAGGGGTGTTGACAGCACTAGAGAGCATGGTTCTAGACTGCATGTGACGAATGCCCTGGGGCTCTCGGCTGGCTTTACGCTCTACGCGAAGCACACATCCACGCATCACCCTTCCATTCTACAGCATGAAAGTCAGTCAACTAGAACTAAGAAGTGTATAGGATTCATGATCTAATAGAACTTACCAAGTGCTTTACGGCAAGATCCGCCATGTCGGGGCGGGCAAACTCAACGAAACCAAAAGCGATAGGAGCTTGTCGGCCTGAGAGCGAGTTCGGTTAGCATTAGTCTCTCCTTCGAAATAAAGGGCTACGAACCAGTTCGGCCATCCTTCTGGACGACTTGTACCTTCTCAACGTCGCCCACCTCACCAGCCAATCTGGTAAGAAGCTCTTCGACATCAAAGTCATCTACCGGAAGGCCGCCAACATAGATGGAACGGCGGTCGATCTCATATCGCTGGAGCCAAGCTTCATCAGGATCGATCTTGGGAACCTGCATTGATTTCTTGAGATCATAGGCGATGACACGGTACAGAGGATGATGACGGTATGCCTGGAGCTCTGTTAGCGGACCGTGGACAGACAGTATAGCTAAATCAAGACGTCACATACAGAAATGACATCTCTGCTGGGATCAAAGTTGGTGAACTCAACCAACACGCCACCCTTGATTCGCATAGCTTCCTGTATCTGAGGGTGGAGTGCCTCGCACTTGCTGAAGGGGCCAAAACCGCCTAGATGAATGCGGGCCTCATCAAGGGTGACATCATCACCAAGGGCATTGTAGATGACAAAGCTACCTGTGTACCAGTTAGCATTGACATACTTCTATTGCTGATAAAGAGATTTTTACTTACGGTTCGCCTTCACCATCTCGGTGCGGCAAGGGCGGCCTTCGATCAGGATTCCACGGCCCTGGGTCACCGCATTGTGGGCATCCTCGTCTTTCTGGTCTCTTAGTTAGCTAATTCCGGAGTTCTGGATCAATTTCCAACAACACTTACAGTGTATTGACAGAATGCAAACGGCATGTTTCGTTGATCACGGCGGATCTTCACGAAAACGATACCGAACTTGCTGAAAGCTCGAGTCAATTCCACCTCAAGACGTGCGTCTCGGATGTATTCAGGAAGGCTGGTTATAAAGTCAGATCTTAATTACCCACAGTCAGGGATAGTATCTATGGGCACATACTTGGCAACGAACACACATGCCGTCGCAGGGTAAAAGGCCTGGGCATCAACGCCAGCGACCTGGGCCCTATTTCCCACATCAGAAGCGCGAGTGCGCAACATGGGGACCGGCTGCATGGTGGGAATGACACCCTGCATAGTTGAGCCGAGCATGTTTAGAGGGGCCGTAGCCGAGACCTGAGTGTTAGGGCGAACGGGAGATTCGAATACGTCTCCATCATCAGAAACCTTGCCAATCTGGAAGCGAGCATCATTCCTTTGAGAGAATCAGTCAGCTAGTTGAATTCAACATGCGTGGACTAGAAAAACTTACTGCTCATCAAGGTTTGAACGCTTCTGCGTGAAAAGGGGCGAGTCGTGACCGTTGCGGACAGGGCTCTGCTGGTGGCTATTAAGGTGGAGTTAGTAGTT